ATAGAAGAAGGTGTTTAATTGAGCTTAAGTTCCAGAGGGTCAGAGTCCATGATGGTGGATTGAAGGCATAGTGGCAGGGACAGCTGAGAGTTCACATTTTAATCCACAAGCAGGAAGCAGAGAAAGGGCACACTGGGAATGGCGCGAGTCCTTTGAAACCTCAAAGCTCACCCCCAGTGACACATCTCCTCCAGTGAGGCCACACCTCCTAATCCTTTCCAAACAGTTCCACCAAGTGGGAGACTAGAGTTTAATCACATGAGCCTATGGAGGACTTCTCATTCAAGCCACCATGTTTCATCCTGTTCTTTGCTTTCTAAAAAATTAACAATGTAGGGAGCTGGAGAAATGGTTCAACAATTAAGAGCACTGACTGATCTTCCAGAGGACCCAGGTTTAATTCCCAGTGCCCACATTAGATGGATCACAACCAATGATAACTCCAGCTCCAGGGGATCTAACATCCGCTCTGGACTCCATGAAAATCTGCATTCATATGCACATAAACACACACACACACATACACACACACACTTTAAACACTCATAAAATGCTATTATTTGTTATTATTGGTTACATTTTACAACAAGCAAAAGTTGCTTAGAACTACTTTCTCCACTTAAGGTTACTGCTGTCAGATAGTGGCCCCCAAATGCCCATGAGAGACTGTACATGAGGCATCATTTAATTTCAACCCTTTCAACAAACAGCCTAACTGTACTACTTATTAGCTGCTTGCTTTTAAAAAAGATATTAATACATTTAACTTTTATAAGTAGGTTTCTTCATCTGTTAAATAATTTCTTTTGTTAATAGTTTACATGAAATTTCCAAGTTAAAAATCTGCCTCAGACAGGTGAGGATCAAAGGAAAAAGAGCAAATGGAATGCCCAGTGCAGTGCCTGCCACATAACAGGTATTCAATGCTAGTCTTGTATCATGATTTGTGTGCCTGTGTGTTCCTCTGTGGCAGAACTAGCATTCTAGACACAGAGAAGACAATGATGTCAATGTCATGGAAGTTTTCATGTCTCCCTGATACCAGTGACCTTAAGTCATTCTTCGTAAACAGGGGAATTTGTGAAAGCAGAGAAAGAAATCTTGGGATGGGATGTAGCTCAAGGGCAGAGCACTTGTCTCTTATGTGTGACATCCCAGGTTGGATTCCCTAGATACACAAATAAATTGAAATAAAAAATTCCAAGCCTGCTGGGCATTGGTGGCGCACGCCTTTAATCCCAGCACTGGGGAGGCAAAGGCAGGCGGATCTCTGTGAGTTCGAGGCCAGCCTGGTCTCCAGAGCGAGTGCCAGGATAGGCTCCAAAACTACACAGAGAAACCCTGTCTCGAAAAAAAAAAAAAAAAAAAAAAAAAAAAAAAAAAATCCAAGCCAAGAGTCCAAAGTTTGTTTAGCCTGCCCTCTAGTGGTGGATATTTTAATCTTCAGGGCAAATATGTGGGAAACTAGAGTTGTTAAGACCTGATGGCACTTCTTAATGTTGATCCTCCTCCACTGCACAGGCAAGACAACACCTGAGACTGGATCCTCTCGTTTTCCACTTTCAGAGCTTAAAAGATCCTTCTTAAGGTGCAAACATGACCTAGGAAGAGTTGCGTGTGAATCCTTGAAGATGAATTACACCAAGCTCAAGAATAAGACCATGTAGATTACATCACCATGGGAGGGTCAGGAAAGCCTTCAGAAAGTCAGCAAGTCAGGAGCCCCTGGCTGTTCACAGGCTGAGGAGGAGAAAGTACACAAAATGCTAACAGTGTAAATGGAAGGAAGGCTTTTCTCTGTCTAGTCCAGTCCCACTTGACCAATTTTTTTCTCCACCCACCAGGTCCCTGCAGCGGCTTATAAAATAATCACAGAGTTAATAAGTATTTATAATTGGTTTTCCAATGGCTTAGACTTATTACTAGCTCTCTTATAAATTAACTCATTTCTACTAATCTGTGTATCACCACGTGGCTGCTTATCGGTAATGCCGAAGCATCTTGTCTCCCTGGCGGCTACATGGTGTCTCCTCACTCTGTCTTCCTTCTCTCTGTCTCCTTGTTTAGATTTCCTGCCTAGCTATATTCCTGTCTGTCCATTGGCCAAAACAGCTTTATTCATCAACCAATAAAAGTATATTCGCAGCATACCAGAAGGACATCCCAAGTCCTGTAGCGGGGATCTACTCAGTCTGCATACTCTACTGAAGAGTTAAGGATATCATACCTTACCTTAATGTCACTGGACCACCAGACCCAGGTCAGAAGACAAGCATTTCTTTTCAGTGCATTTCCCCATTAATGGCAGTCCATACATGATTCTAGCGTATGCACAAAATTAAACAAAACCATCACAGCCTACTATTTCCCCAATTTCTTGCCCTGAGGGCTGAATTATCACTATCAAGCCCATTCTATAGATGAGAAAACACATGCTCAAAAAGTCCAAAAGGTTTTCTGGATGTACATCCTGTGTTAACAAAAGAGCAGTTCAATCTTTATCTTCTAGGCCTCCAAACCTAAGGCTCTTGGTGCAAGCAAGAATTCAGGTTCAAGACTCACCCTTTGAGTTAGGAGACGTCATTTTATGATGGTGGTACAGGACAATAATGGTGGTCAGACCATTCTTAACTTGCAAATAGCATCACCATGTTTCATTCATTTAGGAACAAGTCAAGTCAAAGAGGATTCGCCAGAGTTACTCTTAGAGCCAAAGCTTTATCCCATCAGACAGAGTGAGGCAGGTGTGTGAGTGACACCACTGTGAGGTTGGAAGGGCTTCCCACTGACTTCAAGAGATAAGATATGGAGAAAGGAAATGGGTCCTGGGAGATCTGCCATAACCCAAAGAATTAACACCATGGCTGGGGAACCTTGCCTTGTCTTGCCTAAATGCGATTCTATCTCCACAACCAAATTTTCATATTTTCATCTATTGATTTCAAAAATATATAGCATAGCACAGAGCTTTATCTCCTGCCATGGGGTTTTGTGTGTGCCAGGGCTTCTCAAACATTAAGGTGCTTGTAAACAATGGGCACGTCTATTTGAAATATAGATTCTGAGGGCTTGGGGAATAACTCAGTGGTAGAGGACTTTTTCTAGCATGCATGAAGGTCTGAGCTCAATTCCTAGTACTTAAAAAAATGTGAATGAATAAAATTCAGATTGTGATCCAGCAGGTCAAAGCAGGTCCTGAGAGACTGAATTTCTAGCCATCTCCTAGTGCCCCTGCTGCTGCTGGCCTTGGGCTACACTTTGAACATCAAGTGTTTAAATGTGTATAAATTAATGCTATATGCTCACAGGTAAGGAGAAATAATTTTGCTGCTGCTGTATTTTGCAGGGTTTTGGTTGTTGTTGTTTTTGGGTTTTTTTTTTTTTTTTGAAGCATGATCTCACTATGTAGAAGAGGGTGGTGGCACAGCCCAAACTGGTTTCAAATTGCTATTTTCCTGCCTCTGCCTCCCAAGTACTATGATTTCACATTATGTCATCTAGCCTTACTTTGGAAATAATTTTATCTGAAAGGAATGCTATGCAAACAGGAGGGGTTCTCATGAGACGAATTAAAGCAGGTCAGTTGACAGTAATAGAAACGCTAAGAGAGATGTCACCTGCTCTAGCTCAATAATGGTGGGCAAATCATACTGTGATCGTTTACAATTAGTATTCTTCTCAGTAAGACCATTACAATCTACTTAGTTTTTACAGTTTGATGGGGTTTTATTTATTCATTTATTTTATGGGTGTTTTGCTTGTAAGTGTGTATGTCCACAGAGGCTAGAAGAGGGTGTTGGATAGCCTGGAACTAGAGTTACAGATGGTTGGGAGCTAGCTTTTGAGTGCTGGAAATGGATCCCTGACCCTCTGTGTGAACAAGCAATCAAAACCACTGAGCCATCTCTTCAGCTTCACAGCTTTTTAAATGTTGTCTTTACAATGCTGTTGGATGGAATGGGAATTTCTGGCACAGACAGCATTCAATGAAAATAGATACTTTTATACCCAAGAGCTTCAGAGAGGCTAACTTCTGGTAAAGCAGGTACTCAGACCCTCATCTGAATCCAATGTCAGAACTAATGCTGTTTCTACATAGCCCCACTTGACCGTATACTTTTCTGGGTTATAAATTACCTTGGTTTTCCTTTTTGTCTAGTCCTTTCTGTCTTTCTAAGCATGCAATTAACAGCCTACATACTTGCAGCTTAGTACCAACAGTTTTGTTGCATCTCATAGAAACAATATGTCTACAAGATTTAAATGATGAAACAATGGATTCCCCTTTCTTCTTGTTCTTTTTAAATTTATGTGAGCATAAATATGCATGTATGTGTGTCATGTGTGTCCATGGTGCCTGCAGAGGTCAGAAGGGGAAACAAATCTGGAACTGGAGTTAGGGGTGGTTGTGAACCATCATGTGGGTCCTCAGAGCTGAACTGGGGTCCCCTACAAAGGCAGCAAGTGCTCTTAACGATTGAGCCAACTTTTCAGCCTATTCTTCTCCTTTCTTTTTTTCTCTACCTTTTTATCTCATCTGTATTTACCTTTTAAAGCAGAATGTGATTGGGCACTATATTTCCATTCACAAGCCTTGCTGAGTTACAAGACCTAGGGAAGCTTAGTTTTGTTCTCAGTACTTTGAAAACAAGCCACATGGGGAATTCCTCAGTTGTTTTAGCTTGTGTATTTACTTCTAAGACTAGTACATGCAGAATTAACTACAGGGGATGAAAATTTTAAGATGAAACTTAGGCCATCTTAATCTTTTTCCTTTTAAACATGAAGCTATCTTAGAACACTTCCAAAGTGACAAATTATTTGGTCTACTAAGGAATCCAGCTCAACAGCTAAATACTGCAGACCACAAAGTTAATAGGTTACATTTTGCCTTACAACAAATGTTCTACCAACCAGTTGAGTCAAGCCTAGAGTATCACAGTATCACAAGTAGAAAGAAATTTTTCTTCCCCTTAGTTTTCATGTCACACAGATGTTTTAATGTTAACAAAAATAAACAAAAATCCTTGAAAATATATTATCAGAAGGAATGAAAGTAAGCATCAAACATATAGCTCTGGTGAAGCTTAGTCTATTTCTTCCATTTGTGATGTGTCATCATCTCCTTCCAGGGGTGGCATTTCTTCAGTTACAGCAGCACTGGTATCATCCACAGTAGGGTCATCTTCATCAATACCTAGACCAAGCTTGATCATCCTGTAGATCCTGTTAGCATGTGTCTGGGGATCTTCCAGACTGAAACCAGAAGACAGGAGTGCAGTTTCATACAGCAAGATCACCAGATCCTTCACAGACTTGTCATTCTTGTCAGCCTCTGCCTTTTGTCGTAGGGTTTCAATAATGGAGTGGTCAGGGTTTATCTCCAGGTTTCTTTGCTGTCATGTAACCCATCGTTGCATTGTCTCTAAGAGCTTGAGCTTTCATGATTCTCTCCATGTTTGCTGTCCACCCGTATGTACTTGTGACAATACAGCAAGGGGACATCACCAATTGGTTTGATACGACCACCTTCCCAACTTTTTTCTCCAAAATATCTTTCATAATCTTGCAGAGGTTTTCAAATTTGGTCTTTTTCTCTTCCTGTTTCTTTTTCTCCTCTTCATCTTCTGGAAGTTCCAGTCCTTCTTTGGTAACAGACACCAAGGTCTTGCCCTCAAACTCCTTCAGCTGTTGCACACAGTACTCATCAATGGGCTCAATCATATAGATTACTTCAAAGCCATGCTTTTGGAGATGCTCCACAAAGGCTGAGTTAGCAACTTGGTCCTTGGTCTCACCTGTGATGAAGTAGATGTGCTTCTGGTTTCCCTTCATTCTGGTGCAACAGTCCTTGACAGAAACCATCTCATCTCCAGAAGCAGATGTATAGTATCGCAACAGCTCTGAAAGCTTCTTCTGATTTTGAGAGTCTTCATGAATTCCAAGCTTGATATTTTTTGAGAATTGCTCATAAAACTTTTTGTATTTTTCTTTGTCTTCTGCCAGTTCAGTAAATAGTTCTAAGCATTTCTTGACCAAATTCTTTCTGATAACTTTCAAAATTTTGCTTTGCTGCAACATTTCACGGGAAATATTTAGAGGAAGATCCTCAGAATCCACCACTCCTCTAATGAAATTTAGATACTCAGGAATTAACTCCTCACAGTTATCCATGATGAAAACTCTGCGCACATACAACTTGACGTTGTTCAAGTTTTCTTTCTGTTTCAAACAGATCAAATGGAGCATGTCTTGGGACAAAGAGAAGGGCCCGGAATTCCAATTGTCCTTCAACAGAAAAATGCTTCACTGCCAAATGTTCTTCCCAATCGTTGGTTAAGCTCTTGTAGAACTCTCCATACTCTTCATTAGTAATGTCATCAGGATTCCTGGTCCAAATAGGCTTTGTCTTGTTGAGCTCTTCTTGGTCAATGTACTTCTCCTTTATCTTCTTCTTTTTCTTCTTGCTGCCATCCTTCTTTTCCTCCTCTTCTTCATCAGAACCCACATCTTCTATTTCTGGCTTGTCGTTGGATTCCTTTTCTTCCTTTTCCTTCTCTTCCTCTTTATCTTCTTTTTCTTCAGCTAAAAATACAGCTGAAAGTGCCAAGAAATCTTCTCCTTTCTTACTCAAGTAAATGGCTCAGTCCTTGCTCCATGACTTTCAGGTAGTACTTGGGTTTTGAAGTGTCTTGGCCCATCTATTCTTGCCATACTCTTGATCTCAGTCCTATTGAGCCACTGCCATTTGTTCCACCCTTGTGGTGCTAATATCAGGTGAACCCAAATAGCAGACTGTCAGATGGAACCTTTTAGATTACTTCTGTTCTTGAAAGATTGTAGTTGGAATTTTATTTGGTCCACCAATAAGCTCCCAAATAATGGTATGGAAACTTATTAATTATGAATTCTTGGTCTTAGCTTAGGCTTGATTCTACTAGTTTTTTTTTTTTACTTAAATTAACCCATTTCTATTAATCAATGTTCTGCCCCAAGGCTCATTTACCTCATCTACACTCTGTCCATCCTTGTCTCCTGCTTCCTCTGTGTCGCCTGGCTGGCCCTGGATAGCTGGCCTCCTGCTGGCTAGCTGGCTCCCCTTTTCTCTCTGGCCACCTGCCCCACCTAGCACTCTTCTGCCTAGCTATTAGCTGTTAAGCTTTTTTATTAGACCAATCAGATACCTTAGGCAGGCAACACATCTTTACATAGTTAAACAAATGCAGCATAAACAAATGCAACACGCCTTTACATAGTCAAACAAATACTCTGCAATACAAATAAATGCAACCTAACTTTACACAGTTAAATATTCTATTCCTCAGCACAACATCCCCTTTCTTTTGCACTGTTTGTTGAATAGGGGTCTCACCACACATTCCTGGTTGGCCAGGAACTTGCTATGTATACTAGACTGGCTTCACACTTGTGACTCCCCTGCCTCTGTCTCCCTAGTGCTGATATTATAGGAGTGCACTCCAGCCAACATTCTTTTGGACTTTATATATAAGACACTGAGGAACTCCTCACACTTAAATGTCAGTTTTTTAAAATCCAAAATGTAGTTAGAGATTAAAGTGAACTAAGAATTATAAAACCATCTTAAACTATTCTGCTGTTATTTGAATGCATTGTCTCTCATGGTATCACAAGTGCAATGTTTTCTCTCCACCTGAGGAAGCCATGGAAACTTTAGAAAGTGGAGCCTAATTTGAAGGTGTAAATCATTGACGGTGAGTACTTGAGGGCATATCCTCCCCAATTTGTTCCCATTTCACTCTCTCTACTTCCTGTCCACATCCAAGATATGAACTTCCCCTTCCTTCCCAGCCATGATGGACTGGAAACCTCTTAAACTGAAGCCGGAATAAATCTTTTCTCTATTAAGTTGGGCCTGCCAGGTACTGTGGTCATATGATGCTACAGTGACCAATGCTCCAAACCTAGCAGGCTTCAGCTGTATTCTGAAGGGAGACGTTACAGAGAAACGAGCCACACTGATGCCACAATTCTTCATCAGCAGTGTTTGTTTTCTTCAAGGACTGGGAAATGGGTCAGAGTTGGTACGCTAGGTATCTATAGCCATGAAATTGGACTCTGGATCCCAGAGTCAATCATTATTCTGTTTTAGCCCCTAAGATGGCAGATATTATATCTACAGAGTATAAACCTGTAACCTGGCAAGTTGTGGTGGCACAGTCCTTTAATCCCAGCATTAGGGAGTTAGAGGCAGAGGATCTCTGTGAGTTCAAGGCCAGCCTGGTCTCTACATCGAGTTCCAGAGCATTCAGTAAGATGATGCCTCACAAACAAAATTGTAGCCTCTTTCAATTTACAAAACACAAAACCCCATATTGAAAATATCTTAAATCCAGGGCTTCTGTCATAAAAATAGAGAATGACCAGAGGTGCTGCTGACCTAAGAGATAGCTGCATCCAGGAGTTTGGACATTGTTGGAATTCCCTCTTTGTGCTCCCCATTGTGTGTCAGACTTGTGCTTTCAGATCAGCTTGTGTAGAGTCACTTGATGAAGAATTTACACAGCGAGGCTCCAGATTCATACCCCAGCATAAACTTAGGAATGTGTTCATTTTTGCTGGTTCCAGTAAGAACAATTACTACAAAATACCGTTGGCCCAGTTTAGGACATGTACCCATGCATGGGCCAGTCACATAGGCAAGAGAGAGGATGGCAATTGTCCTTTCTTGATCATACTTCTGTGACCTGAGGGGCTGGATCTATATCAAAGGGCAAAGTTTTAAACAAGAAAGAAAACACTCTAACAGAAGACCTTATAGTTTTTGAGAATGTGCAAAGTGCCTTCACATGATTATTAACTTTGAGTGTCCCGTGGACTCAGGGACGAGGGCAAGTCAAGTATTACTAAGGATTAAGATGCCCACAAAGAATTTCCTCCTAACTTGCATTTGGGCTGGCCCTGACACTTAGCCAGTAAAATGCGGCAAATTTTACAATTCCTCAGCTTCCCTGCAAAAGCACTCAGCAGCCTCACTCTTTCCCCGGAGAATGCTCTCTTAGGACATTCCCTGTGAAAACACAGGGAACAAGCAGTGAGACAGATGTCTGGTCCCCATGGCAAAGGAACAGGGAGCCAGGCACTCCACTGAACACTTCCAGCAGAACCCTTCGCTTAGGAAACAGATGCCAGGTGAAAAGAACACGCCACTTTGGACATTCCAGGGTGGCTTGGTCTACAACAATAAAGGTCTAAAGTAAACTACGACTCCAGGGGTTTAGGGTCCAGGCTAGCATGTAATAAGTAAGAGTCGCGATGTGCAGCCTGACGCTCTCTCAGCCTACTGCGCTTGCTCTGATTCCTCCTGGTTTCCCATTAAAAACGGAGCACGTCTCAATCCCCAGTTTCCACTTGGGAAATGTTCTTTCCAAGACGTCAGCCTGGTAAAGCACAACATTTGTCCAATCAGCAGGTCAACAGTGCCAGGCAACTGAACCAAACGCGCCTCAAGAACAAGAAGGACTGATGTCCCCTTTCATGGCCCGCCAGAGAGCTTCCCTTTCCCACATCTCTGCTTTCGGGTCTGTGACACAGCGCCAGACCGTAGTTGTGAGAAATAATGGGCCACGGCGCAAAACTGCGCGTGCGCGCATGTAGGCAGGGCTACGCGTGCGCGGGACCACACGTGGGCGGGGTCTCGGCACGTCGAGGCCTACCCGGCGGCCCCGGCGGAGGCGGGGGCAAGGTGCTTCCCGCCGTCCGCCCCCGCCATTGGCGGGCCGTTTGAATGGCGGAAGTGACGAGAACCTGGCGATGGTCGTCCCGCAGGGGCCCAAACGGCTGCTGGGTAGCAGGCCGCCTGTGGACGCCCGTGTGCCGTGAGGTCCAACTGCACACGCTGCCAGGTGAGTGACGGAGGCCCGCCGGGGTTCTCCCCGCAGGCCGCGAGCAGGCGGGCGAGCCTTCCGGCCCTTTAAACCTCCCGAGGCGGGTCCTGCAGAGAGCGTGGCGCTTCTGTGCAATCCGACCCCCGGAGACTCCTGTCACAGTGGGCTTTGAAAAAATGGCAGTCTCAGCCGGGAGTGTTGGTTCACCCAGAGATCCCAGCACTCTTTCGGGAGGTATTAGTGCCTCGAGTTCAAGGCTAACCTATGCGACAAGAAACTACGGTACCGAATGCTTGTTAGTCTATTATTATTATTATTATTATTATTATTATTATTATTATTATTATAATGTGTTCGGCGGTTTCGCAGCAATTAAGCCACACTTAGTACAACCCCGTGTGGTGGGTATTACTACCGTTACAAGGAGTAAAGAAACGGGACCCAAGGGATTTCAGACTTGGCTACTGCCTTCTGCTAGTGAATGGCAGTGTTGGCTTTTGCATCCACGTCGGTTAAGTCTAGTGTTAATGTTGTGATTACTGCGTGTCAGATACTACTGCTTAATTATCGCAATGAAATATATCAGGGTAAGTCCTATTGTATCTATTATTGCACAGTTACAAAGCATAGAACTTGGAAATCCACACGGATAGAAATGACTTGTGAATAAACCAGACAACAGGATTCTACTTGATAACTGTAGAAGGAATAATTTTCTCCTATGGGAAACAATTTGCAATATTCCTCCCTTGGATCCCCAGCCATCCTTTAGAGTTTGCTTTTTTTTTTTTTTTAAGAATATCAATGGGATGTATTGGAAAAGGTTTTCAACTCAAGCAATTACTCCTGTTTGACATCAGAGCCCTCTTGTATATAACCATGACTTGGTCTGCCCATGTAGTACTGTACTAAGTCACTGTCTAATTCAGTCCACCCTAAATTATCTATAAAGTGCAAGACAGCTTTTTTAGACAGAAACATAAGGTGATGAATACAACCACCCTTGTCCTGGCCACACTTGTGATGGAGAATTTGATGAAAAAAGTATTGGTTCCTACCAGGTTACCCAAGCACTTCATCAAAACAGTATTTTTAAGTTATTATATTTACTTGAGTATTGAGAATTTAAACAAAACTATAGCTACAAAAGACAAATAGTAATTAGTGAAAAGTAAAGGACAAGCCATCCCTTTATGAAAATGCATATAGATAGTCTATATTCTAGGTAAGATGAGTGAGTAAAGTAGAAGGGGCTAAGCTTAAACTAGCTTCACAGAGCTGCAAATACCCAGTAATACAGTTGCCTGCTCATCACTATGAAGAGACCAGAGAGATGTGCACTCATCTCATATAAAATCACAATGGTGTGGTGACGCTAAGTGATCATGGGAACAGGTTGGTAGCAGAATTACTTGGAAAGAGTTTTCAAATTAGATCAGCTATAGATTATCACATTCTAGTCTCCCATACCAAATTCTTCTAGTTAAGAGCATGTTAAAAATTTTAGAGAAGAGGAGTGGGACTGTAGCACAGTGGAAGTATGTACATGTACAAAGCCCTGAGTTCCATCTCAGAACCATAGACACAGAAAAGAAGTGTAGAGTGGACATCAGGGACACCCAAAAATAGCAATAGAAGAATATACCTGGGAATCTTAAGTACTTCACATATACAATTAGGATTATTCTTAGTTTTGTTTTATTTTAAAGTGGTCATTTTTAAAAAAGGATAACATATATCCTGATTAGTTTTATGTCACCATGACACAAGCTAGAGTGGTTTGGGAAGAGGAATTTCAACTGAGAAAATGCTCACATAAAATCTACCTGTAGGCACATCTGTAATACATTTTCTTGATTAATAATTGATGGGGCCTGACCCACTGTGTACTGTGCCATCATTGGGCTGTTCATGCTGAATGATATAAGCAGGTTGAGCAAGCCAGTGAGCAGAACACCTCATGGCCTCTGCATCAGCTCCTGCTTCTGTGTTCCTGCCGTTTGAGTTCCTGTCCTGACTTTCCTCAATGATGGACTATGATGTAGAACTGTAAGCTGAAATAAGCCCTTTATTCCCAAGTTACTTTTGGTCATGGTAATTGTTGAGGAATCTTTTAGACTAAGCCCATGGAATTGATAAAATGCAATAAATTTAGTGGTGCTAGGTGATTAAATTATATACAGCAAACAAGGACCCTTTTTCTTTTTGTTTACATATAGGTTACCAGGTTAAATTGTTCTTGAGAAAACATTTATTCGGTGCCAACACATCTTTTAAGTGCTTCATAAACTTTGGAAATGCCAAAACAGGGAAAAAGTAAGGTCTGAAATCTTGTCAGTCGCTATAGGTGGGGACAAACTTCTGAGCAATTCTACCCATTCTTCATTTTCTTTCTCATCCATCTGACAACCAGTGATCTAAAGACCAGATTTATAACTATTTGTAAATAAGTTGGACTTTGTTTACCTGTGTGATTTTACATGTGGGTGTATATGTATATAAATACATTGAAGTTTTGTAATTATTTTAATTGTTGCCCTATTTCTGTAATATATTTTATAGACATTCATATATTTATTTCTCTTCAATTCAGATCCTTTGAATTTAAAATACACAGAAATGAAAAGAAAGGTAATGAACACTGGGAAGCTGAGATTGAGTCCTAATGAGGAAGCCTTCATTTTGAAGGAAGATTATGAAAGAAGACGGAAACTAAGATTACTTCAGGTATCATTTACTTGGAGTTTTAATTTTTTGTCTTTCTCAAGTCCTTGGAATTTTTTGGGTTAGATGATTGTAAAAGCATTTACAAGCTTTTTCCTGTCCTTGAAAGAGCCCTGATATTTTATTCTTTGGTAATTACATATATGGATGCAATGTATTTAGATCATATCCACCACTTTCTTCTCCGTCCATTTCCTCCCCAACTTTCTCTCACATTCTCCCTACTTCATTCCATCTTTTTCTTTTACTTTTTTTTTCTTCCCCAATAACCCACTGAGTCCATTTAATTTTCCCTGCACCTGTATGTGTGTACCATCATCCACTGGAGCATGGGCAACTTACCTTTGGGCCACATTCCTAGAGAGGGAACTCTCATCTGACCTCCTTGGCTGTGAAATCACCTTACCATTTTAGCATTGTGTATGTTATTAGGGGTAGAGAGAACAGTTGAAACAAATCAATTAAGGGACTTTAGAAATAGTGTTGGAGGTTGCTGAGATAGCCGAGTAGGTAAATATACTTTACTGCCAAGCTTGGCAAACCAGGTCCTATCCCAGGGACCCTTATGCTGGAACTCGTGCAGGTTGACCTCTGACTCCTATGCTACAACATACACATATACAAATAAAGGAATGCGGTAAGTATTTCTAAGTAACCCCCTCTTATTTTTCCTCTGTCAGTTGGATTTTCTGCTAACCATAGTCCCTATCTAATGAGTATTTAGAATTGATACATCTGAAGAGAATTCATTTAAATTCCTACTCACAATTAGATATTTAAAAATGTTTAAACCCCCTTCATATATTTTGTATGAAATACTCATCTTTCAGGTTCGAGAACAAGAAAAGGGTATTGCCTTCCAGAAAAGAGAAGACATAAAACAGAGGAAAAGTCAGCAGTTTTCGCGTTTGGCTGAGGAGCTAAAAGCAGAATGGGAAAAAGCACAAATCCAGAAAATACAGAACTTGGAAAAATTGTATTTGGCAAGTTTAAGACATATGGGAGAGGGACATCGACAGGCGAAAGAAAATGTGAGTGAGCTCATCTTGTCACTGATGGAGGCAATGTGGTTATGTGAAATCGCATTTATTGAGTTCTGACAAGATAAACATGTTCTGATAAGGAAGTGGGGGAGACAAGCTGACCTTTATTTTCTTAATCAGTTTAATCTGCTGTGAGAATAATGGTGTTATTTGTTTCCTTGTAAATCATGCCACGAACACCTTTCTTCCTCTGGTGTTCAAGTTAATGTTATTTCTTCCAGTTCTTGCCTATATAAAAGATTGTAACCTATGAAATCAGAAATTGTCTGTCTCAGGTAGTTTGAATAGATTCAGGGAACTAAATCCAGATTTCCAAATTCAGATTCATTCCTAACCCTTTAAATACATTAGTGAATTCAGATACATTGTATTTCGTTGGTAACTTAAAGTCAAAGTAAAGTTCAGTGTTTCAATGGGTCCTTGAGTTCATTTGTTGCTTATTGTGATTTATGACTAGAAAATAGTAGTTTGGTCAGGTGTGGTATACATGGATATTTGTAATCCCAATACTCAAGAAAAGCAAGACAGAAGGACTTCCTTAAGCTCTGAGCCAGCCTGGTCAACATAGTAAGTTACAGGTCAGTAGTCAGTCAAGGCTATATAACAGAGCTAAATAAAAAACAAAGGGGAGAGAGGGAGGGGGAGATGAAGGAAAGAAATGCTAGTTTGTCATCCCAGAGTAGTCTCACAATAAACAGCCTGGCTCCAAAAAAGACAAATCTTTAATGACAATTTTTGAGGAAAGGAATACTTTGAAGTAATGTAGCAGCTGATTTTTGTGTGTTTTTACCAGTAGACTAATTTCTAATATTATTTTATTTATTTATTTGCCTTTTTTCAGATCACTATTGGCCTTGTGTTTAAACATTCTCCCAAGCCTAACTCATTTGAATGACATGCATATGATTTTTACAGACTGGAGAACCTCCTATATTATTATAAATTTGGTGTTTTAGTTTAAATAAAATACTTTGTTGCTTAATTTAACCCTTGTCCAAAGTAGCTTGATATTTTATGTTTTCATAGTAAGATAAATGATTATTACTATGGCATGGAGGTGGTATCATTTTCGTTCTTTGGAAAGTATCTGTTTACTATGTTGAGGGATGATGGAATTGAAAGGTAACTTCTAGGCTGGAGAGGTGGCTCAGTGGTTAAGAGCACTGGCTCTTCCAGAGGTCTTGAGTTCAATTTCTAGCAACCACATGGTGACTCAACCATCTATAATGAAATCTGATGCCCTCTTCTGGCATAAAGTTGTACATGTAGCTAGAGCACTCATATACGTAAAATAAATCTTTTAAAAAAAAAAAAAAAAGGTGACTTCTTTGTTGATGATGTCAAATAGATACATTTCTGTTCATCTTGTTTAACATGACTTTTTAAGTATTATATACTTCTAGGAACCTGATTTGGATGCTCTGGCTCAGCGGACAGCAGAAAGAAAAAGAAAAGCTGAAATGAGGCATAAAGAAGCCCTTAAAGTGCAGAAAAATCAAAAAGAAATGTTAATGAAACAGAAAACCAGGTAACATTATAACTTTTACCATATTTTCAGCTGAAACCAGTATGGGTAGAAAACAGGGCATGTAGGAGGCTGTGAAAGGACATACTAAATAAAAGGTGTGTATCCATTGCACCTTGAACTGTGCTTACTAATGCAGTAGTAAGCTAACTAATGGGTGAGCTAACATTCTGAGTTCAGTGGCAGTTGCTAAGTTTCTGAAGACATGTATGGACAGCTCAGACTCAATATCAACCAAAAACTGTCCCTGCTGTAAAAAAAAAAAAGTAAAAAATCTATGTGATTAAGAGCATTAAAGGGATCTTGGGACAGGACATGGTGGCGCACACCTTTAGTTCCAGCACTTGGGAGGCAGAGACGGTCAGATCTTTATAAGTTCAAGGCCAGCCTGGTCTACATATCTAGTTTTAGGCCAGCGAAGGACAGAGTATTTTGAGACAGAACAGTGAGACTATGTCTGAAAACACACAACACACAAACACACAAGGTTATGGACTATAAATCTTTACTCATTAGCAATTTTTGCATGCTGCTACTGGTCTGCACTGGCCAATTTACACAATAGTCTATCTTAAACATTTCTGGTTCTGCTCTTACTATAAAGAACTCTAGACCACTGGTTCTCAACCTGTAAGTGGGGTCAGACAGCCCTTCCACGGGTTACCTAAGACCATCTGCATATCAGATATTTTCATTATGATTCATACAGTATCAAAACTACATTTATGAAGTAGCAATGAAATAATTTTATGGTTGTGGTCACCACAATATGAGGAACTGTATGAAGGGGTCGCAGCATGAGGAAGATTGAGAACCACTGCTCTCTATGGTTATTCACTTGACTCTCCTATCTTTGGATAACTCCTGAAGTTACACGTATGCTGGGTCAAACAGCAAATTGGGTATGGACTCAGCTAGAAGATGAGTCTCTGCCTTTTATATTTTTAACTCTGTGTACTAATACCACGTAGATGCCTTTCTGTTCCTCTTGGTGACAGCAGGTATTACCTGAGAGACTAATTGGTGGCATCTCTTGTCTTTTAAGGCACATAAAAACCCGAAAGGAAGCTTTGCTTGTGGAAAAAGAGAGATCAGCTAAAGTGGCCAGGCTGCCACCTCCTGTTCCAGCCCCTTTTGAGGTGAATTGCCTAGAGCTTTGTTTAAACAGGTTTTAATTGCATAATAATATAGAAGTATATATGAAGTATTTTAAAATTCTAGATATTGTTTTATATATAAATGTAAAAAAAAAAACAGTACTGACATTTTCTCAGTATTACCTAATGCCTACTATGTTTTGAGTTTTCCCTGGTAGGAATTGGTTTTTATAGTCCTACCAATCATTCTGCCTTTTTATTTTTCTTTTTATAGCTTTTATTAGTTGTCTTACAGACAGCCCGTATTCTGGATTTGGCTCACAGTCAAAGAAGTAGCACTCAGATGCATGTATAAATTGTTTACAATCATAAGGTCATGAGTAGTTTATTTACAGGAGTAAGGTGTGTGCTTTCTGATTAGACTCAGAATAGTTCAATCTTATGAGTACTAGAATGGACACGCTGGCTTATACCTATATTCTCAGAACTTGTGAAGCGGAGGCAGGAGATGGCTAGTGACTAAATTAGACATTGTTTCAAAAGAAAAAAGAAAGAGGGAAAAAGAGAATCAGTTCTTTTATTTGTATTAGCATTTTGTAGTTATTGGAGTAGCTATATAGATAACTGAAAATTGCAGTTACTTTATGTGAAAAGTTAGAGGCTTTTTAAAAGATCTTGAAACTTAATACTGCACGAGTGTGTCTATCCTGTATTTGTGTGTGTGTGTGAGATCAGCATGAGTGTCAGGCTCTGGAGTCTTCCCTTCTGTCGGCTTCCCTGCTCTCACTGGACCACCTGCTAGGTAACGTGATCCAGTGAGGCCCAGGTGAAAATGTTCTCTTTCAGCCACTGCCCCAGGACCATGCAAGATACTAGGAAGGCAGGCAGTATTTTAACCCATAAAGCCTTTTGATAGTTTTCTTATAATCGCCAATATTCATAAGCCAAAATAGCTTCTTGAAGTAGAATGCTTTTTCAGAGTTCAGGATGGGTAGAGTAATCTCAGTTCCAGGGTAGCACATTTGTTGTTGCTTTTTTTTTTTTCTTTTTTTTTTTGGGGGGGGGTTGTCTTTCATTTTTGTGAATGTCATTCTAGAGGTATTGAGTTTTATTGTTCAACACACAGTTATTGTTTTGTTTTGTTTTCTTTCCTTTTGGTTTTTCAAGACAGGGTTTCTCTAGCTTTGTGACCTGTCCTGGAACTCGCTCTGTAGACCACGCTGCTGTCGAACTCATAGAGATCCGCCTGCCTCTGCCTCTGCCTCTCAAGTGCTGGGATTAAAGGTGTGCATCACCACCACCTGGCTGTCATTATTCTTTCATATCCTCATAATTAAAGAGAAGGCTCTTCAAGCTGGCTCTGTATCCATGTTAGCTTACCCCCTGGTGGTTTAATTCCAGTGAGAGCGGAACTCAGGCTGGAAGCTAGATATTGACAGCAATTTTAAATCACTTATAAGTCATTGTAACAGTGCTGACAGTCCATGGATTTATCTGATGAAACTCTAAAGTCTAGCTCACTGGAAATTGTGTTTCAACGAACAGTTGGTGGTAGTTAAAATCTCAGCAGAGAGTCCCAATTTCAGTGTATATGTATGGCTACCTTGATTTTGGGAGTACTGGTTCTAAGAAGTTGCTTGTTAATTGAATCATGTTTTAATATCCTTGTGAAGAAGTATGTTTTGTTTGTTTGCGTGTTTTTAATTTTCCTTTGGTTTGGTTTGGTTTTGGTTTTTCAAGATAGGGTTTCTCTGTGTAGCTCTGGCTGTCCTGGACCTCTCTCTATAGACCAGGCTGTGGCCTTGAATTCAGAGATCTACCTGCCTCTGCCTTACGAGTGCTGGGATTAAAGGTATGCACCACCACTGCCCATTGTGTTGTATGATTGTACTTTAGTTCACAAATTAACTGCTGGCACATATTTGTAATCCCAGTACCTAGGAAGTGGAGGCAGGAGCATCAGGAGTATAAGGCCATCACTATAGCAGGTTTGAGTCCAGCCTATAATACATAAGACCCTGTCACAAAAATAAAATAATCAGCTAATGTTTTCATCAGTGGAAAAATGTTGTTTGTTTATAGTTTCTTTTTTTGGCCTCCGTTAAAACTTTGAATGGGATCTCCCTGTTCCCACCCTTTGCTCCTTGTGTTTCTAGGTTCCCATCAACATCTTCTAACTTGTTTAAATAGTTCTCAATTTGAACTGAATATTTGCCACCTGGGAGGGAGTTTAAAAAATTAATACTAGTGCTAGACATTACCGACAAAGTTCTGATTATAGTTGGTTTGGTGAAGGATCAAGATGTCTAGTTTTCAAAAGCTATTTAGGTAATTCTCTTAGTTAGCCCATCCATGTTACTTGGTTCTTAATCCTGTCTTCTTGCCTTTTATGTTTTCCTCTTTTTTGTTTTTTTGTTTGAGTTCTGTTTGTTTTTTCCTACTTGTTTATGTTAAAGTTGTGTCTGATCATTTCTCAATTATACTTCTCCCTTTGAGCTTGTCAGTGTTACCTCTGTGGTTTAACACGTGCTTTCTCAGACATTGTGAGTCCCACGATAATTGGCACCATAACTATGTGACACAGAGATGTACCTTCTTTTCATAAGAAAGCTGAGGGACAGAGTCAGCACCAGGTGCAGAAGAATCTCAGGAAATTGTACTGTTACTTTATTTTCTGTTTATAGTGCTTAACTTGCACAGAGTGGACACTCAGAAATCCCTTGTTTAATTACATATCAGGACATAATAAGTTGTAATGGGCTAAATCTACTTTTATGCCAAAGTATTGGAAGCAGGAAACTAGCTTATTTCATCTTTTTGAGACTTGTGGAGTTAGTGTTCTTAAATTAGCTAGTGTTTCCACACCAGAACTTAATACGTGATTAAACATTGAGGAGTGAGATTAATGTGAACTCTAGTGGGATTTTTGTGATTAGTTGTGCCTCTATCTTGACTACGTGTGTCTTGTAAGCACATTTTTATTCAGGAGATTTGAAAGTGCTCTCAGTTCTGGAGATGGACCTCAGTGGAAGAGCACCTCGGTCGGTACAGTCCCCAGTAAAGGGTAGGATGTAGGAGACACCATAGTAAAAATAAATGTCTCTTTAAATAACTTAGAAGTTAGAGTGAACTTCTAAACTGAAATAAAAAAACATTGACTATAATACACATATCTAGAAGATATTTCAAATATTAAACAATCTAGTACTTTATTAAAACTTGAAGTAATTTAACTCTGGATGAAAAGATTTATTGCATTATTAAGCAGATTTTAGCATTGGTTTTGTTTCAGTGCATTTTTTGTTTCTAATAATACAATGCAATAGGCAAGGTAATTCATAGAGAAAAGACTGGCTCATGGTCCAAGACTGATGGGTTGCATCTCATGGTGGTCTTCTTACTGGCAATCATGAGTTGTTGGAGAGCATTAAAGCCATAAACAAGGAGATCTAGGCAAGTGGCTTTTGTAGGAGACTCACTTTAGAAACAGTTAGCCTTGGAATTCATTGATCAGTTGAAAGGACTAATCTATTCATTAGAAGAGCTTCCCTAATAACCTCAAAAATTTCTACCCTTTTCCCTCCTAACCTCTCCTAGTAGGGATTAAATTTGAACAGATTTGAGAATAAACCATAGCATGGATTAATACAATTTTGTGACAATGCACGCTTGTGATCCCAGCTCTCAGGTTGAGGCAGGAGGATTGGCATAAGTTCCAAGCCAGCCAGGCTACATAGCAAAATATTGTTTCAAAAATTAAGAAATTTTACTTTCTGCATTGGATCTAGATTTATTGAAAATGTGTGCTTTTAACCTAAACTCTTATTTTATGTCCTATTTTCCAGAACATTGAAATAAACAGAATTCCTTCCTTGAAAACCAATAGTTGCACCTATCATCACATTTCTACTTTTGTGAATAGACAGATGGGCACAAAGCAGGTGATTGACTTACTGTTTGTTCATAGCTTCACTTGAGTCTTTCTGTGTGCACTCAATTCAGTTTTATCTTGAGTCTAGGTCTGGCATAGCCAGTTCAAAATTTGAGCAATCCTACTAACTATTCTTGGGTAAAAAAGAACAAAAAGCCTTGCAAATGTGTTTTGAATTTTCATGTCAGATATATGATTGTCTCATGTGAATAGAAGAAAATACATGACTATTTGTGACTGTCGTTTAAAATGGTAAATATATTTTATCACTCATTGTACAAAATATGTTTTATTATAACATAAAGTAGGTTTTAAAACGTTTGATCATAAAATAATAGAACTTTTGCAGAAATAGAACTTTATATAGAAGGTAAACTAAGAGAAACATCAATGATCCCACCGCCAGAAGGCAACATGGTTATTGTCATATGAGTTAGAGTCTGTCTTTATGTAGAGACATTCACACAAAGATTTAAAACAGGATTTGTTTTTTAATGTTTGTGGGTGTTTTGCTTTGCATGTGTGTCTGTACCATATTATATGCCTGATACCTGCAGAAGCCAGAAGAGGGTGTCTGATCCCCTAGGGCTGCAGTTATTGAGAGCTGCCATGTGGGTACTGGGAGTTAAGCTTGGGTCTCCAGAAGCATAGCCACTGCTCTTAACTGGTGAGCCATCTCTACAGCCCCTAAAAACAGGATTTTAAACAACTCCTCACAATTCATGCTTCACTAAATAATAGAAACTTAATCTTGTACATTTATGTCTATATCTGATTTTATATTAAGAGTTTATTCCTAGAGAAAAAATTACTGCTTCCAAACTGCAGAACATTTGATAAAGCTCACATTGAACAGCCTTTTGAAAAGTACTAAAAACATCAGAATGGCTGTCTTCCCATTCCTTTGTCTTCATAGATATTATGACTAAAAAGTCCTTCCTGGTGTTAAGAGTGAATGACTGATATTTCCTTATAATAATTGCTTTTACTCTGCAACAGTAAATTTGTGTGTTTTTTTCTTGTTTAAATGTTTTTGGAACTCACAGATCTACCTGCCTCAGCCTCTACACTGGGATTAAAGGCATGTACTCTACTCCCAGAGTAACTGCAGGCTTTAATATTTTTCCATATTGTATATATTTGGCTACTAGATAAATAAGCTACCAATACAGCATTAATGTGGACTTTTAAATACAACAAAATTTTAGTTGACTGCTTAGAAGGGGTGCTAAAGGCAGCATACACTAATATATAAGATGAGTGTCATATAATGAGCCTGTAGGATTCAAAACTAAATTGAAAATTTGTTTAAAATTATAGGAGTTGAGGAGATGGCTCATTTCCCAAGTGCCTGCCACATTGTAAGCAGGAAGACCTAGGCTTGATTCCCCAGCACCCACATTAAAACTAGGTATGGTAGCACACATTTGTAGCCATAGCACTGTTGCAGCAAAACAGTGAGACCCCTGGTACTCATAGCTGACTGACCAGCATAGCTGAATCTATGAGCTTCCAGCTCCCTGAGAGCCTATTTCAAAAACTCAGGTAGAGAAACTCTGGCCTCAACAGATATGTACATATTACACCACATAAACACACATGCACACATATACCATGAAAGATAAAAATAAACTTGTACAATAATATAATTCCAACATTAAGAAATCAGACTAACTTTAGTTTGTCACTAGCTTACATTTAGTTACTCTGAAATTTGTGAAATATTAAATACTTGTTGCTTAAAATGAAGTTTTCTGTCAGGCACCTTTAACTCCAGCACAAGAGAGGCCAGCCTGTGAGTCCAAGGCCAGCCTGGTCTACAGAACAAGTTCTAGGACAGCCACAGCTATGCAGAGAAATCCTGTCTTGAAAAGCCAAAAATAAATTAATTATTAAAGTTTTCCTTCTCTCATGCTAGGCAAGAGTTCTAGCTGAGCTACATCCTACATCCCCAAACCTCTTTTTATTCTTCATGTCACACACTTCATTATCTCTAGATTAGATATAACTATCATTCTGTTGTGTGTTGTTTTGAAGTTTTCCATCTCAAGATTTTATCAGAATTGACATTCTGCTTTAAATACATCCTCAAGAGAGGGGGAGAATTCCATAGCAACTTTTTTCATTAAAACTTCATGGCCTGAATGGAGTGAAGTATTGTTTAATGTTCTGTGCCCATTATAATTTTTATTTAACCTATTTTGTTCTGCTGGCATTATTTAGATTTGCATAAGTATTTGGGGGGGCTCAAAAAAGGTAATTTTGAGGGGAGGGGGTGTTTGAAGACAGAGTGTTTCTGTGTAATCTTGGCCATCCCAGAACTCTCTGTGTAGACCAGGTTGGCCTTGAACTCAGAGATCTGCCTGCTTCTGCTTCCCAAGTGCTGGGATTAAAGGTGTGTGCCTCCACTGCCAAGCTGAAAGGTAACTATTTTTAATAGGCTTATTTAGCTAGTGCAGTCTTTCTTACTGTCAATATCTTCATCTACTTATCTCACTATTTGAGGACTTTTCATCTTTCTTTGAGAAAATGTTTCACTTCAGCCTTAAACTCAGTCTCTCAAGACTGCAAGAGTGAGCCACCATACCCACTCTGGGAGGGTTTAATCTTGTGTATAAATTAGTAACTTTTGTTTTCATTATTATTGCTTCAATTTATTGATCATATGAGCAACAAAGCTCTTTCCTCCTGGTTATATTAGCAATGCTGCCTATGTGGCTGAAGACATGGCTCGGTAGTTAACTAGTGTTACTGTGCTTGTAGAAGACCTGCACCCCTTGATAACCAGCTTTAACTCCAGTCTCTTCTGGACTCCCAGGGCACTTGCACTCATCCCTGCCTATATACATAATTAAAAAAATGTTAAATAAAGTGTATATTTGAAAGGAGATGTTCAAATAACAAAGAGTAACAAGAGGTAAAACTGGTATAGTCACTGTTTTTTCATGAGTTCTAGGAAGCCAGGGTTATATTCAAGTCATTATTCTGGCCTTCTTAGCAGAGTCATCATTGCTGTTTAGAGGATTTTCTTTCTGTGTGTGTGTGTGTGTGTGTGTGTGTGTGTGTGTGTGTGTGTGTGTTTTAAGATTTAGACATTTATGTACTTCATGTATATGGTTGTTTTGTCTTCATGATCATTTGTACACCAGAAGAGGGTATTGGATCCCATGAGACTACGGCTACAGATGGTTGTGAGGAGGTGTTGGGAATTGAACTCAGTACCTCTGGAAGAGCAGCCAATGCTCTCAACTGCTGAGCCATCTCTCCAGCTATAGAGCTAATTCTTAAAAATCATGGATTTGAATGCACAAAGCCTGATGTTTTAAAATGTATTTACATTATTCTAATAATTTGATCATTTTATAGCCAATTGTTATAATTGCAGATATTAAAAACTTTTTTACTATTTAATTTTATATAAGTAGAAAAATTATATTAGTAACATTGCTTTTTAAAGCTATTTCTTTGTTTCACATTTTAAAAAAAGATCTAAACTTGTGTTGATTGACTGCCAGCCAGATGCTCATTTGGCTGCTGAAGAAGAAGCTAGACGATTGGAAGGACTTCGGAAGCAGGCGGCACAGGAGAGAAGGGAGCAGCTTGAAAGGGCGCATGCGCGGGGATCCCAAGCCATGAAGAAGATCCACCTGACCCAAGTAAGACCTGGCATCTCCCTGTGGTCTGTGACTGCTGCTGCTAGGCTGGTTGGTGGCATTGTTGAACTGCTCAGTGAGTGAGTTCTGTCCTAGAGTATGAATACAGTGTTTTTATTGTCAACTTAAGGAAGGACAAGTTTACTCATGATTCAAGGTATAGTCCATCATGGAGGGCAAGTCAAGGAAGCAGGAGTTTGAAGTGCGTAGTCACATCATACCATAGTCAGGAACACAACACAATGGCTGCAGCTGTTTCGCTTTCTTTCTCATACAGTGCAGCACCCACAGGACTTTCCACCACCTCAGTGCAATCAAGACAGTTTCCCAGTAAGCATGCCAAAGACCCATCCCCCAGGGCATTCTAGATCCTGTCATGTTGACAGCATTAAACATCATCCAAAGTCTCTGATTCATACAATTTCATTACAATTTTCCAAAATCCTTTTCCTTCTTCTTTTAAGATCAGGTTGAATAAAGCTATTCTCACAGTGTATGTTGGTTTTACATGTTTGCCAATACATTTACATTTATTCAATCCAAAAAGAGCCTAAGAAAATGAATCACTTTTTTGATGTAGTAATTTTGATTGCATTTGTGTGTTGTATAAACTTGTATAATTGATTCATTAAGTATTTTCTGAACAAAGCACTTATTGGCTGCTTTGAGTTTTGATTCAAAGGTAGACTCATGTCCTTGCTTATTCTTGAAACACAGCATAAAAGATTCATCTTCCTGTTTCACCTTAACTTCTGAGGTTGACTACATTTGTGTATATTAAACGCCTAGCACCTTAGGAGAGGGGTTTTTTTTTTTTCGTTTTTGGTTTTTCAAGACAGGGTTTCTCTGTGTAGCTTTGGAGCCTATCCTGGCACTTGCTCTGGAGACCAGGCTGGCCTCAAATTCACAGAGATCCACTTGCCTCTGCCTCCTGAGTGCTGGGATTAAAGGCGTGCGCCACCAACCCCGGCTAGGAGAGGGTTTTTTAAGTGCCTCATTGGACATTAAATGTTTACCCTAAGGAAGTCTACTTTGATAGTAGGGTAGATTATGACCTCCTCCCTTGAAATTTTCATAAATAGGAAATGAATTATGGCTTAGTTAACTGTCTGAATTATTAATCATTCCCATCTAAGAAATAACAGCAGAAGCTGGGCGTTGGTATTGCACTTGGGAGGCAGAAGCAGGTGAATTTAAGACCAGCCTGGTCTACAAAGCGAGTTCCAGGACTGGCTCAAAAACAATACAGAAAAACCCTGTCTCGAAAAAAAAAATAACTACAGAAACTGAGAAACGGTTATAAGTTGAACACATCCTTCCATAAAAGCAACAGTGTTTTGTTTTGTTTTTTTGGGTTTTTTTTTTGTTTTTTTTTTTTTTTTTTTTTTTTTGGTTTTTCGAGACAGGGTTTCTCTGTGTAGCTTTGGAGCCTATCCTGGCACTTGCTCTGGAGACCAGGCTGGCCTCGAACTCACAGAGATCCGCCTGCCTCTGCCTCCCAAGTGCTGGGATTAAAGGCGTGCGCCACCAAGCCTGGCTAAAAGCAGCAGTATTGAGTGGCTACAGAAATGCCACTGAACTTAGCTTGAACTTGCCACAGCTTGCCTGAACTTAGCTCACCTCTGTATTATTTGGCTCTTAGCTCTCCTTAGCTCACTTTCATCATCTGTTTCCTGAGGACTACATGAACTTCATAGGAACATTAATGGAGTTTAAAATTCCCTGTTCTTAGGAAAAATGCTAATAGGTTGACATACCATGCTTGTTAGGAGTAAAGAATAGTGGGTTGGGACCGCACAAGGATCACAGTCCCGAGGTGGGTGATGGATGGCGAGTGAATGGGGAAACAGAGACCTGTAGACGTCACTCATAATGAAAGCTTTATTGAGGGAGAGGTAAGAAAATAAGGTACAGAGACAGGGCCTGGAGAGATGCTCAGTGGTTAAGAGCACTGCCTGCTCTTCCAAAGGTCCTGATTTCAATTCCCAGCAACCACATGGTGGCTCACAACCATCTGTAATGATATCTGGTGCCTTCTTCTGGCCTGCAGGCAAACATGCAGGCAGAACACTGTATATATAATAAATAAATCTTTTTAAAAAAAAAAAAAAAGAAAAGAAAAGAAGGTACAGAGACAGAGAGGACAGATGAGAAGAGGAAAAGTCCTGTGTGCCCCAGGAGAACAGCAGGAAAGAGAGTGTAAGTGGGTGGGGTCTTTCTTTTAAAGGGGTCCTTTGCACCTGTATGTTGAACAGGGTACTGCCTGAGTTCATTCTGCCAGGTGACAGGCAGGCCAACATAATGCCAGAGTCCTTACAGTGGTTTAAGTGAGCCACAATAATGCATTTATTCAAATAGCAAGTAATACATATGCTATCATAAAACAAACAAACAAACAAAAAACTGCTGTTTGTGCCACTTCTCTTTATTCTAGACTAGTATTTCTCACATAGGAAAAGTCATCCAAAACTGTGGTATCTTAGTGTTAATAGATTCCATTTCCCTGTCTGAACCTTTTCCCTAAGACCTTTTGGTCTAGGAATGTATTTATTGCTGGGTCTGTTGTAATTGGCATTTAGATTCTGTCCTCCTCTGGTTTTATATTTTGTGTGTGGGGGGGGGGGTGGTTGGGTAAATCCCTTTGCTCTCTGTGCCCTATCTATACAAAGGGTGTGCTGTTCTCTGATTGCTTTCATAGCCATACCTATGTGTTGTCCCTATTTTTTTCTTCTACTACTACATCCTCTTCTGTGTGACTAAATGCTTACCCAGAAACTGAGGAGGTTACTCTGACTGGACTTCTTTGCCTTTTATCATCAAAATTAAATTAGATAACTTTATTAAGACATGTTGATTAAACTTTCATGTTAGTAGTACTCTACACATAAAGAGATACACAAATCCCCTCTAACCGTGGAAATCGGAGTTTGAAGTGATGGAAGTATCATTGGTTAGGTCTCCATTACTCAGGACCTGAGAAGTGCAGAGAGAGCTGAACTCAGCACCTTTTAGTAGCCCTGGCAGTTAAATAGAAAGTGACCAAGTGGTTTTCTTCTGCAGAACATCAGAGGCAGGCAGTTTTCAGACTTTATGGTGTAGGCAGTATCCTCTCTCACTTCTACCTTCTTTGTCCCATTACTAGTTTAGGGTTGACATTTCCTCCTGATATTCTCAGTATGTTATCCAGCAGATATTTGTGGAATAGATAAATTAGTGTAGTATATCTTATATCAGAACAAATGGAAGAGGAGGGGGCAATTTTAGACCCTATTCTTCATACTTTCCTCTTGCCAGTCAATGTAACCATCTGAAGTTTGACTCAGCTGTCAATTATCTGTTTGTTCTTGAAGACCCAAGAGAGACTATTGGAAGAACTCAAACAGCTGCAAAAAGAGGACCTGGCACGTAGGAGACAGACAGTGGCACAAATGCCCCCACAACTAGTTGAACTGCCATACAGACGCGGCGAGGTGAAAGAAGACTGGCATCGAGAGCTGGAGTTCGCTTTTGAAGATATGTACAATGCAGACAGGAGTAAGGGACTTTCAACAGAGCTTTTAAATGTTTGGGTGGGAAATCATATTTGTAGTAATAAGCAGTGTTTATTTTGAAATGAGTTATTGTGTAAAAAGGGCCTTCATGCGTTAGACTTAAAACTGATAACCCTAAGATTTTTATGGTTAGGGCTGCAGAGATGGCTCAGCAGTTAAGAGCACTGCCTGCTCTTCCAAAGTTCGATTACCAGCAACCACATGGTGGCTTAAGACCATCTGTAATGAGATTTTGTGCCCTCTTCTGGCCTGCAGGCATACATGCAAGTCGAACACTGCACACATAAATAAATAAATAAATAAATAAATAAATAAATAAATAAATATTTTAGAAGATTTTTATAGTTAAGTTCCCCCCCCTTTTTTTTTATTATTTTCAGTCATATTAGAAGGAAAACGGGTCTCTTGTGTTTCTTTATTCAGAGGTGAAAGGAAACCTGATTTTGCATCTTAAGCCAGAGCCTTTTCCTGCCATGTCTGATCAGCTCCGGGATGAAGAACTGGACCTTTCAATGGAACTAGAAAATCGAGGTGAAAAGAAGAACTCTCAAGTGCCAGACACTGAAATAATACATTCTAGTGGAAGAGGTGGTAAAAGCCCCTAAACTGAATGTTGAAACTCATAGAAAAGAATTTTAATCATTAGCTAAGAGTTAGGAAAATCCATTCAATTTAAGTGCCGATAATGACACTAATGTAAGCAATGACAGGAAGTGTCTGCATATTTCTGCCGTTAGAGATCAGTTCCATACTTGTTAGAGGGAGCCATTCACACATGATACCATGTGGAGATCTTTAGGTTATGTGAGTTAGATGCTTAGTTCTGGATTCATTTGAAGGGTCAGCAACTTTTACACTTGACCAGATTATTAGAAATCCTATTGTGTATCGTGATGCATTGTACAGACTTCGATTTCCTATCCTTCACACGGGCTTCAACATTGAACTTTCTCACCTGGTTGTGCCATAGGTACTTAACACTCATATCCAGCACTTAGTCATCTCTTGCTTACTGAAGCCTTCGCTTTCTAACTTAAGTGAATAATGGGGCCAGTGGGATGTCTCTGTAGGTAAAGGCACTTGCCTCCAAGCCTGATGACTTTGGCATCTCCATGGTGGAAGGAGGGAACTGACTCCTGCAAGTTGTCCTCTGACCTTCACATTCCCTTCCCCAGTAAATAAATAAATGCAATTAAGTGAATGATGATATCATGGTTACCTGAGACAGATCAAACATTTTTCTCTTTCACTTCTGTATCTCCTTAAAGACCAACTCCACACCACTGAACTGAACTCATTTTTCCTCTTTGTTTCTACCTGTATTGCCTTTATGTCATGCTACTCAGGGTTACATCTCGCCACCTGTACCCTACACTGTGGAAGTGGCTCTTTATGGCTAACTTGATGGTGGGGGCTCAAGGCCTTCTCCCTTTCTTTCCTGCACACGTGTCTCTCCTCACAACTCTAAGACTCAGGTCGGTGATTACCCATCCTGTTTTCAGAGTTTCCCCAGAAATGATATCTTCTTATTTTCTTGCTAGGTTAATAGTGTCTTTAAGAAGACCTTTTTTTCCCCCCATTTCATCCAGGGTTTTAGTTGTTTTAATGGAACCTTTTATTCATATTTCTAGTTAGCCAAAATTAAAGCCTCACATTACTCTATTTCCTGCTGGCCTAATACTCAGTCTTCCAACTTTTCATAGAAAGCTAGGAAGCTGAGTATTGTGGCACAGCCTGTAATTTCACTGTACAGGAGGCTGAGCCAAGAGGATAACCAGGTATTTGGGACAGGTCTGAGCAAAATAACAATACTTTGTCTCTTGAAGACATCAACAACAAAGGGCTAAGAACTTCCATTACCCTCCTTTAAAACTAAATCCTTGTTGACAAATAATTACAAATAAAAGTTGGCAATGTAGCTCAGTGGTAGAGTGTTTGCCTACCATGTGGAAGGCCCTAGATCCCATACCTACTGTGTACACAAAATGATGGATGGGTGGGTGGGTGGATGGATGGATGGATGGATGGATGGATGGATGGATGGATGGATGGATGGATGGATGGATGGATGGATGGATGGATGGATGGATGGATGGATGGATGGATGGATGGATGGATGGATGGATGGATGGATGGATGGATGGATGGATGGATGGATGGATGGATGGATGGATGGATGGATGGATGGATGGATGGATGGATGGATGGATGGATGGATGGATGGATGGATGGATGGATGGATGGATGGAGAAAATTAATCTGCCTTAAAAATAGGCAGGTCACAGGCTAATGGGTAACTGACTGAAGCAACCAGAAAGTGTTACCTCAGTACATGGCTCTGTGTTCATATAGAACTAAAGAAGAGAGTAAACTAGAGTGTGGTTGTGAGATGGAGTGCAGTGAAGTCACCTTTTGTGTATACTGACTGGAAGGACAGAGCCTCGTTGGTGCTAGAAATGTCGCACAATGGTGATATTGATAGACACTTCTGTGAAATTCGCTTTGTGTTCTGAGCCGTTTGTTACATTTTTAATTCTATTAGAACTTTTTTTTTAAAATACGTATTAAAATGTACTACTTTGCCAGTTTTCAACCTCTTTGGTATTGTTAGTTTTTTCTTTGATTAAGCTAAAACACAATTTGGTCCCCACTGAGAAATTTTAGTTCTATTCTTAGTCAGCTTGTGCCATCTCTGTGGAAGGATGCTTGAAGAAATACCTTGTTTCTGATTTTTGATAAATGAAAGGGTTTACTTACAACCAGAGATGGAAAAATTTTCCCCACATATTAGCAAGAATGATTTGAAAGCAGGTGCTTTACTTCAGGGCTGTAAAATTGTTTTTCTAGTAGCCATCTAAGAATTGTTTTGGCCATTCCCTAGCACTATGAAACCTTACAGTGCATGACTCAAACATTAACCTTAGTCACAAGCTGGTTAGGAGTCAATCTGTCATCACCTAGCCAGTAGAGTGAATGTCCTTCTAAGAGTTAAAGTTTGAAATTAGTTTATATATATTATGGTATTGTAAAATGGTCTAAATTTGAATTTAAATTTAAAAAATTATACTTGATTGTTAAACTAAGACAAGTTAGTGTTGTTGAATACACTAGCCTTTAAATATTGAAAATAAAGTTATGCTTTTGTTTTAAGTAATTATAACAGTACCTGGGTATAAAGACAGAATAATTGCCTAAATGTAATGATTTTTTTTTTCTTTCTATTTTTTTAGTACCCTTTGGAAGGAAGACCCAACAAATCCCCTCAAGAATTCTTTTTAAAAGATTGTTAAATAAGATTCGAAGCCAAAAATCTCTCTGGACAATTAAATCTGTGTCTGAGGATGAAAGTGAAATAACTACGACCATCAGTGAGGTTGAGAGTAAAGCACCAACCATGGAATCGGGAGCCATGGTCCTTGAGGAAGGAACACTGTCCTCCGAGCAGGAACAAGGTGCTTTCTCCATCAGCCTATGTGACGGCACATAAACATGTTCAGATTGTTTAAAAATGTTCATATCTGAGTTTAGGGTTTAGTACCACAGTAGATATTCAAGGCCCTAGTTTCAGACTGCATCACTGGAAGAGACGGGGTCGGGGGCATGGTGGTTGAGTCATGCATGAGAAAACAAAGAATAGAGAACAGAAGTTAAGCAATGGCCTAGGGGGCTGGAGAGATGGCTCAGAGGTTAAATGTGCTGACTGCCCTTCCAGGGGACCTGGGTTCAATTCCCAGCACCCACATGGCAGCTCACAATTGTCTATAATTTCAATTCTAGGGGACCTGGCACCCTCACACAGACATACATGTAGGCAAAACACCAATGTACATAAAATAAAAATAAATAAATTCTAAAAAAGAAAGAAAGAAAAATAGGCTGGAGGGATGGCGAAGAGTACTTTCTGCTACTCCAGCACCCACATGGTGGCTCATAGTCTTCTGTAACTCCAGTCCTAGGGGATCAGACCCTCTCTTCTGGCCTCTGAGGGAAGGTACTCGGCAGGCAAATGGTACACAAGCATACAGCAGGCAAAACATTCATACATGAAAAATCAGAAGATTTAAACATATATATATATATATATATATATATATATATATATATATTTAAAGTTAAGAAAGAGCTCTGCTATGTAAAGGCCGCAGGAGAATGTGAAGCACATTAGTGTTTCTCCTGAACCACTGCTGTTGCTCATTGTATGAACTCCTGGAAGTCACTGAACCACATGTTAGTTACTTGTCATGTTTAGGCTATTGCTTTCTTGTTGTTTTTGTGTTAGTCTATGCACTCGAATGTGTGTGTGTTTTATATGTATGGTATGCCATTGCCTGGTGATTCACTCACATCTTTTTTTTATTCCTTTGGGGTGTGTGTGTGATTGTGATTGTGTATACCTTGTGCATGTGGAGGTAAGTCAGAAGACATCAGAAGATCCCGTGGAACTGGAGTTACAGTTGGTTGTGAGCAATCATATGGGTGTTGGGAACCAAACCCATGTCCTCTATAAAAGTGGTAGGCACTCTTAAACAGCTAACTATCTAGCCTTCCACATCTTTAGTTTTTAATGCATGTTAGTGGATTTTGAGTGTGTTATATCTCTTTACATTCCAACCAGAGATCCTTTCCTTATTTGTTAATTTTAAAGAATGGGGGAGTGAGTCTTAAATATATACCCAGAAGTTACTAGACTCATACTAATAAGATCTCCTTGAATTATAAATATGAGCAACTGAGAATTGTGAAGGTATATTCTGATTTCAGTTGTATTTCTTAGAGGTTTATCTTTTGCACACCCCCCCCCCTTTTGGAAGGTATGTTTGTGTATGTGTGGAGATATTTTGCTACCACACTTTGAAAGGAAAGCTAGTTGGGTTTTATGCTGTTCACAAGAAGCCTTGGCCTGCATCCTTTACTAGGCCTTCTAACGCTTCTCTCTTGTTTTTCTTTTTTGTGTTATCTTTTGCTGCACCTATTGATCATTGCCCCCAGAGCCCATTCCTCAGATCTGTTTTCCTGCACTTAAAACTCCCTAATGTACCTCTGACTCACACTGTACAATATTATGTATTTACTGATGTCACCAAAGTGTGTATTTGCCAAGTTGGCCTCCTTGGATTCAACGAATTATTTGATACCTTCACTTTCAGATCTATTACCCTCTTAAATTTGCCCCAAATTGAATTCTAGATAACTCCCAATCTACAGCTGCTTTTCGTCCCCCAGCTCCCAGTTATTTGCTGGAGAAAAAAAGGTTTTATTATTCTGATTCTTTTTTTTCATTACCTACATCCAAGCCCTCAGCAACTTTAGCCGGTCCCACTTAAAATATATCCAAAGTTCAACAGTTTCTCACCACCAGTCCTAGTCTCAGCTGCATTTGTTTCTAGCGTAGGTTCTTGTCATGGTTCCATCTTCAACTTTTATAGCTTCCACTAAAATCTCTTCATCAAGTGACCCTGTGAAAACTCAGGTCAGCACATTTGTTCTTCTGCATCAAGCCCTACAGTGACTACTTGTTTCACTCAGTGAGAATCAGACTATTGACAATAGCGTCATACCATGCTCTGTGACTTTGTTCCCTTCCACGTCTCTTGCAATCACTGTGCTGTAGATGCTGGCTTCCTCCCCAATCCTCAGACAGCCAAATTGCAGCTCATATATTCTTCTTAACTATTCATGTTTTGGCCAGCATTCTTCTGTAGTTGTTTTTGTGGCTGTCTCCCTCCCCTCCTACCTGAGTCTATTTCTCAGTGAGGCTTTCTCTTCTCACTTTATATAAAATGCCACCTTCTGCCTTCCGAGTAATGTTCCTTCCCATCACTTCATAATCTCTCACCCTGCTTTCTCTTGATAGCTCTTACCAACAGGCAGTAGACTTACTTTCTTGTTTATTTTCTTCATATCTAATCCATTTGTGAGAGAGGAACTTGAAAATTTTATTCATTGCTCTGTCCCCAGAGGCTCTGTGGATAAAAAGTTGAATTAGTCATATAGCTGAATTAGTTGTTGAATTAGTTGAATAACTTAAAGCAAGAGAGATAAATTGGGAAGTCAGATATTTAAAACCATGAGAATAGAAGTTTCTTTTAAAGGAAAGAATTCAGTGAGAAGGGAGCTTACATACGACCACCTGAGGGATTCCAGCTGTAAAAGCTGCAGGAGGCCAGTCAAGTATTGAGAATACAGTATTGGATTCCAAATAAAAGGAAATCTGCTGTGAATCTGTAATCACATTTTGAAAAAAATGCCACCACATGAGTAGTCGCTCTTCACTTTGATCTTGCTTCATTCTTCTCTTTCAGCTGACTGTGCTCCTTTCCTGTGAGTCTTTCAGTTTCTTGAGTGACCCAAGGGGTGTGTGTGGTGTTTTGTTTCCCTTTGTTCCTCTCACAGGGTTTTCATACTGTTTTGGATAGGTCTATTTGCCCCCCTCACCTGACCTCCTTCCTTACCTTTCAGTGACTGCTTAAAACCTGATTCACTAATATCTTTATTATGTTTCATAATATAGCCCGTTTTCTTTACATAGTATTTGTTTTTAATTCTCCAAATTTTTATGAGGTGTTATGGTGTTTCTGTCCCTCTTTCAATCTTTAAACCTTCTTGAGGCCTCTTATCATTCAACACAGTATCCCTTATCATCTACCGTGCCATGGTAAATGGTTGAATCAGAGCTTTGTGCAAAATTACTGGCTACCCTGGTATGATGGGATTCGTATCATAAAATCCCTAGAATCTTATTTACTAGAATGTTATTCTAGTAAAAGCACATTATTTGTTTGGCACCTCTTTAGTCTTTGATTTTTCTTATATTTGCCTTCGATTGGGTGGTTAATGTATGTAGCTACCAAGATGATGACTGAGCCTTCACTGAGGGTCCTCTTCCTGTTGACCAAGAGAGAACAGTTGATCTGATCTAATGCAGGTTCCTGTTATTTTGCTCCCTTTAAGCTTGACATTATCATACTAATAGTGGTATCTGTTACAGTCATGGACAGTGATAGACTGACGATTGAATCTGAACCACTGAGTAGTGAAGATAAGCCATTTTTCTGCCAAGGAGATGCTGGAAAGGAACAAGGTATTTCTGTCATATTCTCAAATTAAACTTGCTTGGTTCTTCATATTGTTTCCTTAGTAAATTAGGGTACTATGGTGGGTTCATCTTTCTGAATTATTGAAACTAATTTTTGTCTGGTGATTCTTGTAGCAGTTGTTGCATTTCCACCCATCACAGATGTGGCTCAGAGTTCAGTACTGCTTCATCCTCAGGAAGAAGCAGTCAGAATTCGAGTGTCAGCAAGACACAAACAGGTAAGCAGGCCCTGCAGCTACAGTTTTGTTTGTTTGACCTATGCAATTCTTACATGATTTTTTTTTTTTTACTTTTATTTATTTATTATGTATACAGTCTCCTGCCTGCCAGCAGAGGGCACCAGATCTCATAAAGGATGGTTGTGAGCCACCATGTGGTTGCTGGGAATTGAACTCAGGACCTCTGGAAGAACAGTCAGTGCTGTTAACCGCTGAGCCATCTCTCCAGCCCTCTTACATGATTCTTACATGTTTATCTTACATAGATATTTGGCTGACAGGATGCATTTGGTCTCTGCATACACTCATATTCCCCCCTAAGTGTCTGCTGTGTGCTTCTTTCCCCTTTTGGTTCCCCCATAATCCCCATGGCAATACTAATGACAGATTTAAGATTTCGTACTTCATGAATAAGAGGTCCTTTTGGTGATGACATGTATTTCTTCTTCTTTTTGGGGGGGAGGGGGATGGGTTTCGAGACAGGGTTTCTCTGTGTAGCATTGGAGCCTATCCTGGCACTGGCTCTGGAGACCAGGCTGGCCTCCAACTCACAGAGATCAGCCTGCCTCTGCCTTCCAAGTGCTGGGATTAAAGGCATGTGCCACCAACACCTGGCATGTATTTCTTCTTAATGCAATGTATGTGAACTTTTCTCTTGAGAGTCTGTTGTTAGAACACTATTGTTCTTATTATCTAGATAATGGAGATAGAAAAGCAGAAGAAGAAGCAGTTGGAATTACTTGAACAAATTGAGCAACAGAAGTTAAGGTTAGAAACTGATTGTTTTCGGGCTGAAATGGAAGAAGAAGAAGAAAGAAAGAAAACGCAACAGTTTGAGGTAGGATGCTATTGGGAGGCCAGAAAATAGCAGTCATGCTGTTTATGCTTCACCCACCTGATAGATTTCCTCATCAGTGTTTGTGCTGTACAGTGTAGATGTGACCGGGTTTACTGATATGGTGTGTGCTGAGCTTTTTGGATCTACCTGTCATCGTAGAAAACAGTAAATTACTTCATTTCTTCATTTTTAGGTTTGCCCTGCTCCAGTATCACATACTCTGATTTCTGGTGAAGACAGTCACAGGCAGATGATACGTAACTATCAACATCAGCTTTTACAACAAAACAGGTATTGACTGGGATTTCTGTGAGACTGGTATGATTTCTGTGAGACTGTGTTACATCTTTGTGATTTATTATTTGTTTTATATAATGATCTAATTGGGATTCCCTTGGAAATTGCCATAATGCTTTCTTCGATGGCAGTGGGAATGTAACTTTTCTGTAGTAAATACAGCAACTTTGGATTGTTGCTTACAGTGTTTAATGTGTAAATATTTGAGAATTTGAGGGTTTTTTTATTACAGATTAGTAATATTTGTTTTTATATTTGTTTTTGATAGGTTAAACAAGCAGTCTGTTGAAACTGCCAGGAAACGATTACTCGAATACCAAACTGTATTAAAGGAAAGATACCCATCCATGTCATCCATATCACTGATACCTGATTCTATTATATCAGGACCACCACAGAAATCACAAAAGCCTGCTGCTGCATCAGAGCATTGGGATCTATGTCAGAGACTGAAGCTGAGTCCTAACAAATATCAACCTGTGCAATCCTCACAGATACCTGAATTAGATCAAAGTCATATTCAGGCACTAAGACAGGGTCACTTTCCACAGAGGCAAGGAGAAACGGGAGCATCAGAGATTCTAACCAAGCAGTCTGTGGGGTCACAGGAACATCTACAGAAATTCTCTCATGTGGAAGCACATCAGAGAGACTATGAATTTGTCCCTAAATATTCTCATGCACTTTCAAGAACTGTGTCTTATGATAGGCCACAAACATTACAGGATGCTGGAGAAGTATCTAAACCACTGACGACAATAACTTATCAGACTTTAGAATCCCAACAGATATCATCAGAAGATAGTGAAGCTATATCTTCTAAACCAACTGAGTCTTCTTCATTTCTCCCACTCGTGCCTGAACGTTCTTTTACTACTCTCCCAGTTCAACTTGAATCTGGAAAAGTTCAGGAACCCTTTACAACCATAAGCAAAAGTAGAGTTTCCATAAACCAGTCTGTAATCAGTCAGATGCATGATCAGCCTTTGTCATCCTCAGATACAATCACCGCCCAGCAGGATAACTTAAAGTTTCTCCAAAAACATTTAGAACTGCAGAAGGAAGCTCTTCAAGCAAGACAAGAGGCTCAGGAAAAGCTGGCTTTTTGCACACAAAAAGAACTGAAAAAACAGGCTGGTCTTCCAGTATTCATCCCATCATCGGATGGAGATTTATTTACTTCACTGCCATCTGAAACAGGAAAAATCCAGACATTTTCAACAGAAAGTGATGCCACTGTTTCCTCAGGCAATATGGACAAACTTTGGGGTTTTTCACAACCTGTCTTATCACAGCAAACTAATTTAGAATTTCCCCAAGAACAGATGAGTGTTCAGAAGGACAACCTTCAGGCTAGGCGGGAAGCCCAGGAAGTCTTGTTGGCACATAAACAGAGTAAACTGGATGACATTGTACATTCTGAGCAGGCTAGGCACTCTTGGCCACATCAGGTGGCTCAGCAGTCATTTAGTCCATTAATAGTGACTGATAGACTATTTAGAAAAATCCAGGAACAGCCTTTACCTACAAACAAGAAAGGGCTTCTCCCAAGCCAGTCTGAAATCTCAAGATCTCAGGATGGGTCTTCAAGTTCTCTACAGCAGATCCTACCTCTACACAATAGTTTAAAGTTGCTGCAAGAACGGCTGGCTACACAGAGGGATGCAATTCAGACTAGAGATGAAGCTCAAGAGGAATCGCTTTTACATAAAGAAAGAAGTTTTGGAGACAGGATGTCTGAGCCAGTAAATTCACTTTCCTCAGTGGTTCCTCAGCATTCAGATGCTTCTTGTGCAGTTTCAGAACCTGGGCCTAAGAAGTCCTGGGAACTGCATTCATTTGAGGAGAATATAGTTCCCTCTAGTCATTTGATCACCCCAGCACTGGAGGAGGAGTCCCTTGGCTTTCCACAGCACAACTTGCCAAGACAAGAACATTTTATAACACCCCAGGAACAGGCACACATTCAGAGGGTTATACTTGGTGCCAGAAAAGAAACTATGGAATATGCACACAAAGAAAACGAATTAGAAAAAGGACTTAGTTCTCAACAAACTGGTACCTTATCTTCTTCATCCCAGGTAGCTGAATGGGAAAGATGCCAGGAGTTCTTATCAGTTAAGAGTGATAATACAGGGCCCTTAAGCCTTAAGATTCCAGGATTTCGGGAAAGGCTGGTTAGATTTTCACAACATACATTCCCTCTGCAAAATAATTTGCAGGAACACCAAGAATGGGTAAATACAGAAAAAGAGAGTTTTCAGCTTAGTCCTCAAACTCAGGAAAATTCATCTTCTCAACAGACAGGCTTTTCTTCCTTCATACCCTCATTAGGACCGTCATCGTGTGTGTCCTTGCCTTCTGCTGACTCAGGCACAACAACAGAGAGCAATAGTAAAGTAAAATCAATCCATCTTCAGATGCCAGAATTGCAGGATAGACTTTTAAAGATATCTCAACTTATCCAGCCTCAGCAAGACAGTTTGAAGACCCTTCAAAAACAATTGGCTGTTCAAAGGGAAGCCATCATCCAGTCTAGACAAGAAGCTCATGAACAAACACTAAGAGAATGGAAGAAAACAGTATTTCCAAAGCAGCCTAGTTCATCTTCTCCCCTGACACCTCAGCATTCACTTGCTTCATTCCCTCTTTCTGACTCTGAAAGAACACAAGAACTCTGTTCAACCATCAGTGATGATGCAGTATCTTCAGGTTCTGAGATGCTGGGTTTGCCTGACAGGGCATTGGGTTTATCACATACTGCTTTATTTCAGCAGAATAATCTGGCTGCACATCCAGAACACCTCCATGCACAAACAACTTCCTTTCATTCTACTGAGAAACCACAGGAAGAGATGGTGTTTCCTAGACCATGTGAACTTTTTATCCAACCTTATCATGGTGACCTGAAGACACTTAAGCAGCAGTTAGATGTACAAAGGAAAGCCCTTAGATCTGGCCAGGAAGTACAAGAGGAACTACTTTTGCAAAGGTTAACTAAATTGGAGCAAAGGGTATCTTCCTCTTCATTCTCACCACAGGTAGCACTACCTGTTGCCAACTCTGAAGGGACCCAACAGTCTTTCCCAACCCAAAGTGATGATACACAGATACCCAACTCCCGTGGTGAGTATCTGAGCTTTTCACAGCCCCTTCTATCTCAGCAGGATAAGCTGGCAATGCAGATGGACTTAGAAATGGTATTTCATAAAGAACTGCTTTTACACAAACAAAACAGCCAGAACAAAAGTGACTCTCTTGAGCATGCTACCCCTGCTTTGTTTCTCTCCAAGGAAACAGAACATCCATTCATTCCATTACCTTTTGCAGAAGCTAAATCTAAAAGCATTTGTGATTTGTACTTGCCTAAAAAGGAGCATGAAGCTCCTTCTAGTGATGCTGGGATCCCAAGATTGCAGGACAGACTTTTGAATTACTCACAGTCTGTCTTAACCCAGCAAGACAACATGAGTCTTCAGAAGCAGTTGAATCTACAAAGAGAAGCTCTGCATTTTAGGCAAAGAGCCCAAGAAGAATTACTTGTTCAGAGACAGACAGCCTTGCAGCAGCAAATCGAAAAACACAGAGAGACTGTGAAAGATTTCTTGAATGTTAGTCAGGTATGTTCTAAATTTAAAACTTCAGCATTACACAAAGATGTTTAAACCTGATTCCATTTTAATCCTAAACTATCTTCCTTTAGTTATTGGGAGTACAGAAATTGAAACAAAATCTGTCTACTTCATAAGGTCATATTAAATAGTCACAATTAAAGCATATCCATCTTCATTTATGAGTTTTGTTGCAGTGGTTTCTCACCTGACACAGATAAAGCTAGTAAAAAGAACTAGTTAACAGAATTTTTATTAAGATGTGGTAGATCCTGCTCTCTAATGACTTCATTTGTATGTGAATCACAATCTATGCCCTTTTTCCCCACCTTGCATATGGTATAGCTAGCCAGGTTGTAGGCTGATAGAGACCAGATCCACTGATGATGGCTGCTTACATTTGAGTTGCTGAGAAGACTGGTATGGTCATTTAGTCATTACCCTATATTCTCATGAATATGAATGGGTCTATTCTATTTTAGGCCATTTCTTAAGTTTCTTAGTATAAACAGAATTCTGCAGTACCTAGATGTTCAGGAAGCACTTGAGTCCAGAAGTTAAAAGTCTTAGAGTTGTAAAGGAAAAGTAAAGGGAAGAACACAGAGGGAAGCATTCGCGTCTAATCTGTCAACATGGGCAGAGCTAGGACTTAGGTGTGTGGCTGTATTTTACACTGGGAGTATCACCCTTTCAGTGTTGGAAGTATGTCTCAGTTTTGATCTATTAACATAAAACACAGTTTATTCTGAGCTGTTCCTGGGGATATGGGTTCAGGTTTTCCTGAGTAACGTGCTCCACTGTGGAAACAGTTACAGTTATAGTCACAGAACAGAGAAATACATGAATTCATGGTGTTTTCCAAGTACTTTGTTGGGCGCATGAGGCGATTTGCAGAGATGCAAGGAAAACTGCTATAGTGATGGAGCTAGTGATTCAGTTAAGGTTCTGATTTAAGTGAGATGTAAATCTCTTGGATTCTTCATATGATCACTTAACACACATCATCCCCAGCTCCCTATTCACTTTTTCAGGCAAGGATGTCCACAGGTGAGAATGACTTGAAAATGCAAGGCCCTGCCTGGGGAAACTCTGATCAGGAGAGCTCTACTGGTGAGTAGTTACATTCAGCAGATGTCCATGATGAGCACAGTGGTGAAATAATCCCTGTTGTCTTGTGACCATGCCTCTTTGCCATCATCCCTGAAGCTTGATGACTGAAGAAAAGCTTCTTGTGTGTTCACAATGTTTCATTTGTTTGACCTTGTCTTTGACCTGATAGGTGAGAGTCTGGGCAAAGAACTGAGTGGTAGAGCCTCTAAACCACCTGTCTCCAAAGTGAAGTGTGGTTTGGACTTAAACCAGCATGAGCTTAGTACTATACAGGAGGTGGAGTCACCAGCAAGTGGCAGGACTTCCATGCCAGGTAAACCGTGTGGTGAAATTCAACATTTTACTAGGTTGCTAGCTTCCTACCTTTTACAGTATGCTATAATGTATCCAAGAGCTAGTCTTTGAGTTCTTGTAAAAAGTGAAACTGGTTTACATAAAAATAATTTAAAATTTGGAATTAGAGAGATGGTTTACCAGGTAGAAATTATTCTCCTGCTCACTGTATAAACCTGACAGCCAGAGTTGAGTCTCTAGATCCCAGGACAACTCCCAAAAGTAGTCCTCTGACCTTTACACAGATGCCATCACACACACACACACACACACACACACACACACACACACACCAACAGCCCAACACCAATACTCACATATCACATATACATCTAATAATAATAAAATAAAATTTACTGAAGTACTCAAATTGTTGACATAAACATAGCAAGCACTCTAGCTTCTTTGTCTCACACTGTAACTGTGTTACATCTCTGAAAGGAAAAGTGTCCAGGTAATTGGAAGCCAAGAAATACCTACAGTTCTAAAAGGAAAGGTATCCCAACAAAAGTGTTATAGTTCTGTTTTGATGGGGGATGGTTTTCCCACCAAAGGTGGAAATCTTTTCCCTAGGAAATATTTCCCTAATGCAAGTGTAACAATGCTGCTTCAGCAGGGGAGGGTTTTCCCAGCAAAGTTGTTACAGCTGTGCTGCAGAGAAATGTTGCCGCTCTGCTCAAATTTTCCGAATGTAACACTTCTGCTCTAGCAAGGGAAAGTTTCCCCAGCCCAAATTCTGCCCTGTTCCTGCTCTTCTCACGCCAGAGCTGTTACAGCTCTGCTCTGCTCTAGTAACAGTTGTTGCTGTAAGCGTTACAGCCCAGATGGAAAGGTATTCACTCAAGGAATACCACTCAAGTCACACCACACAACAAACCTCACACAAGAGATTTATTGCGGGGGGAGGGGGAGAACAGGAGGTTGGCTGCCTCTTCTTGGACAAGAAGCAACAGCAAACTGAACAGGATGCAGGGCTTATATAAAGTTTCTTGGGAAGGGGGTAGAACTTTTCAGGGTGGAAATGGGTGGTACTTCATGTCCAGAAATAGGGTGGGGACAGAGTCCAGCAATTAGGGCAGTTATAGTGTTCTGTGGGTGGAACTTGGCAGTTGGAGGTCCTCAGGAGAGAGGCCTGGCTACTTGTGTGGCTCAAGGGGCTTACAGTTACAGCTCTGCTCTGCTAAGGGGCTTTCCCCACAGAAATGTAGCAGTTGTGCTTCACTCCAGCCAGGGCCATTACAGCTGTGTTCTGCTCCCGAGAAAGAAAGTCATTACCACAAGCTTCACTCAAGAGATTTATTGGGAGGGAGGAACCCAGGAGAGTGGCTGCCTCTGCCAAGGAAAAGGGAGGAAGGGAAAGGAAAAGGGCAGTCCCTGAACAGGGCTTACATAGGGTTTTTTAGCTTTCTTTCCGAGAGGAAAGAATTTCATGGTGGGGATTGGTAGGATATTAATTCCTGACCTTGGGACAAAGCTAAGAGATTGGTTGGATTTTGTGCTCAGGGATTGGTTGGTTTTAGTGCTCTGGGATTGGTTAGCTTTTGTGCCCAGGGATTGGTTGGATTTCAATTCCTGAGTTGGTCAGGGGAAGGTTGTGTTTTAATGACTCTTCAGGGTGTTCCTTCACTGGCCCTTTTTACCCAGAAAAACTAGCTTCTGTCTCATATGAGGAAGGCAGTGTCTACTGTAACTAGCTTCTGTCTCACATGGGGAAGAAGGCAATGTGCACTAACCAGCTCCTCTCACACATGGGAAAAAGCAGTGTGCTGTGATAAAGTCTTGCTGACCCACATTCTGACACAGTGCTTCCTTTCATGTCTGCCATCTAGACATGTTTCATCAAAGATGGAACTCTTTTTCCTTCTGCTTTTTGTTCTCACTACTCTTCTACTTCTTCATGGAGTTTTTTGTTTGTTTGTTTGTTTTGTTTCTAAATAGGGTCTTACTTTGTAGTCCTTGCTGGCCTGGAACTCACAGAGATCTGCCTGCCTTTGCCTCCCGAGTGCTGGGACTAAAAGGTGTGCACCACCACTGCCTGGCTTGTATTCTTTTTTTTTTATTCCACTGTTTCTAAATTTTTATTTCGATAATCCAGTTGCCGTTAACGGAAAGTCCTATTCTCTGGTTCCTCCTACACACCCCCTTGGTAACATCCTATTTTTGTTTCATGAATACAAAATAGGAGTTACGCAAAAAGTTAGTTTTTGGTTTGGTTCTGTATTTTAAGTTGGTCCAAAATTTTATTTACTGTTGGATTTCATGGAAAAGGTGGGGCATTTTCATCAAGGACTCTCATTAGGAAAGTCTTTGATACCAACCCAACCTGGCTATTGCCTCTTATTGAGTCCTGGGACACCTGGTCTACACACATCCCAGCCTTACCCTCATGACTGTTAATGAGTGCATAAATCAAGAGAGCATGGGTATACCACAATATAGGAGTAAAAGAATTTAAATACCTGACTAAACAACCAGCATTTATTTTCTTACTATATAAATCAAGCATTTAAGAGTTCATATTTTTGGGGCTGGAGAGATGGCTCAGAGGTTAAGAGCACTGGCTGCTCTTCCAGAGGTCCTGAGTTCAATTCCCAGCAACCACATGGTGGCTCACAACCATCTATAATGAGATCTGGTTCCCTCTTCTGGAATACAGGCATATATGTAGGCAGAACACTGTATACAAGATAAATAAATAAATCTTTAAAAAAAAATAGAGTTCATATTTTTAAAAACTACTATCTAAATAGCCATTTTAGATGATAAAAGTTATTTATGCAGTTGAGAGGTTGGGTACTTACTGCTCTTCCAGTTCCCAGCATACAACCATTTTAACTCCAGCTCCATGGGATCCAATGCCCCTTCCAGCCTCCTAGGGCATTGCACACACATATTGTGAATGACTCTCTCTCTCTATATATATGTGTGTGTGTGTGTGTGTGTGTGTGTGTGTGTGTGTGTCTGTATACAGTCAAAACACTCAAACACATAAAATAAATATATCTAAAGATAAATGGCCATTTTAGTTTTAACAACTGGAACTTAGGGGTTTTGTTTTGTTGTTTTTGTTTTTTTTTTAACCCAGGTAAATCAGATTTTTATCAAGACCGAGACCCCTTAAGGGTCTCAGTAAGCAGAGAACAAAGTTTTCTGGGGAGTCCATTGGCACGTGATCCATTTGGTTGTCACCAACCACCTGCCCAGAACAGCAGCAGCCATGACTATGATGAAGCAGGTAAGTTAAAGTATTGCACACAGGACATGTGGGCAAAGGGAGGTTGTTAGGTTCTGTGTAATAGTGGTAAGTAGCTTTGATGACTGTTGATAATCAGATCATAACCCATGCTCTCTTGATTTATGCACTCATTAACAGTCATGAGGGTAAGACTGGGATGTGTGTAGACCAGGTGTCCCAGGACTCATAGAGATCCTCTGCCTCTGTTTCCCAAGTGCTAGAAAATCTTTGTATTGTAAAACTGTCTCATTAAGTGACTACTATTAGGATTATGTGAGATATAATGAGTTGGTGGCTTTGCAGGCCACATTGTGGATCCAGTGCTAGGAAATGCTATCATCTGAGAACTGTGACATTCCAAGAGAGTGCTGCATGATACCTGTAAACATTATGGAGAATTTTAAGTCAGTCAATTCCACCATCCAGTGGCAACCAAAGTTAATTTTCTTGCTTTTGAATTTATAGATACGAAACTGTAATATTGCTTGCTGTCCTATAAAATAGAGCTCCAATACCATTTTATTAGTTGTAACTTTATCTGTAAGTAGTTATCTTTCTAGGATTTCTTTTTATGTTAGCTTTATTTAAACACAGATAATTGATTTGTGAGTTGTAGCTAAAGCAAAACATGGAACGTGAGAGACTTCCTTCTGGAGAGTTCATAAGAGAGGGATTGACTCCACCTACTTTTTGTAGTACAGATGAAACAATCATATAGGACATTGTCATTTTTAATATTTTGATATATGTTTCCTTTTACTCTCCCAACTTTATAATTAATATTTAAATATTTTAAAAGAGTTTCACCCCTGGACTAGCAGTGACTACATTTTTTTTTCTTTAGAGTACATAATTTCTAGAACATTCCCAATAATTGAGCAAGGTTTTACAAAGTTTTTTTTTTTAAAGATTCATTATTATGTATACAGTGTTCTGTCTACATGTATGCCTACACACCAGAAGAGGGTACCAGATCTCATTATAGATGATTGTGAGCCACCATATGCCATGTGGTTGCTGGGAATTGAACTCAGGACCTCTGAAAGTGCAGCCAGTGCTCTCAGCCACTGAACCAACTACATTGTTTTTAAAATAATGAATATTGCCCTAGTGAGTATTATAGATGGTAAGAGTAATGAATACCTAGGGAATATTATAAATAAGTAAAGTGGTGTTTTTTTTCCTTTGGTCTGACATAAGGCGATTTTTAAGAAGCAAAATATAAAAATAAGGTATAGAAATGAAGGGAATGACACCATCTTGTGCTATAAGGTTACTTTGTCCTCATTTCCCCTACCCCTATTTTGAACCCTCCAATCCACATTTTAGTTGAAGTTGAGGAATCTGATGTTGAGGATCATGCGATATTGAGTCATGCCGTCTCAGAAGCGTGTACATCTCTGGGTCCAATTGTGAAGCCAGATGATAAGGTCAGTGATGCTACCTTGTGTACTAGAGCTGTTTGGTTTCCTTTAGATAAGTTTATTCTGAGATCTACTGAGGTGGATCAATGATGAAAATAGCCAAATCTGAGCATCAGAAGACCTTTCGGTCAGCTTGGTGCATGATCTCTATAGTTCTGAGAAGCAAAACTACAAAATAGCTTAAAACAATTGGGATCTGTGTATGGTGAGAGGTGTGTGTGGGCGGGTCTGTGTGTGTGTGAATGTTGAGAGAAGGGGTGTGTGTGTGACCATTTCTGAGCAATGATGAAAAAGGCTTTATAGTACTGAACTTTGTTTCTATGAAGGTTTCTACACTTGACCTGAGCTCAGAATTGACAGTAATGTTGATGGTTTATGGTTTTTCTAGATAATGTCAGGATACATCATGATCTAATATTTACCTTTGAAATTTTAGGCTGAAACACAAGAGATTTCTCAGGAGCCATTATCTTCAGTAACTGTTTCTACTGGAAGCTTAAGTTATGAAATCACCGATTTGAGCCTTACAGATCCAGGTACTATCAAACTTTGTGAACATACTGAAGGAGCAGCACTGGCTGAACTGCAATGTAGTAAGGAAAACATTGCTGCTGCTGCTTTTTTTTGTGTGTGTGTGTGTGTGTGTGTGTGTGTGTGTGTGTTTGTGTTTGTTTTCCGAGACAGGATTTTTCTGTTTAACAGTCCTGGCTGTTCTGGAACTCACTCTGTAGACCAAGGCTGGCCTTGAACTCAGAGAGATCCACCTGCCTCTGCCTCCCAAGTGCTTCGATTAAAGGCGTGTGCCATCACCGCCCAGCCGAAACATTGCTTTTTCATGTTGTGTCCAGATGCTGTGTTTGGGGGAGAAGCTGTCTCAGGCCTACAAAGGAAAACATCCGTGTTGATATTCTGAAAGTATTACAAATGTTGTTTTCACTAAACTTGATTTTAGAGTCATTTTCGGATCAGACGGACCATCAGGAACAGCAATCTACTAGAAAACAAGAAGAGACTTCTTTCAGTTGTGTAATTCCTTCAACACCTGTTACTTATCAGCAGCTGCACTCCTTAGGTGCTAATGAATCTCTGTTGCCCATGGAGGAAGAAAGGGCATCTGATCACACACATGCTCAGCAGATCATAGACAAGGATATAAATAAAGCAAATTTGATACCTGAAAAAAGAGACTTGCAGGGTAAAAATTATTTTAAAAGAATATTTTTCTAGCTTTTTACTTTCATCATTTTTAGTTTTAAGTATTGTTTGAGCTTTATATTTTTTTTAATTCTTTTTTTTAAGATTTTATTTATTATGTACACGACATTCAGTTTCCATATATATCTGCACACCAGAAACGTGCACCAGATCTCATTATAGATGGTTGTGAGCCACCATGTGGTTGCTGGGAATTGAACTCAGGACTTCTGGAAGAACAGTCAGTGCTCTTAACCTCTGAGCCATCTCTCCAGCCCCGAGCTTTATATTTTTTATGGCCTACACACCACAGATAATATTGATAGACGTTTATGAGATAGGGCATCTGGGAGCACTCTAACTGAAAAATAGAAGGGGCTTGGCATTAAAGGTACTTGCTATCACAACCCATGACCTATACATGAGTTCAGTCCCCAGAATCCACATGGTAGAAGGAGAGAACTGACTTCTGTAAGTTTTCACCAATCTACATGGCAGGTGCACTGTGGCATGTACATGCACATACAAACACAAATGAATGTAACTTTTTATATTAAAAGAAAAAAAACAGCTTGAAGAGCCTATAAAGAAAAGACTAATGAGGACACTTCCCTACAACTAAGGCAGGGATTTGAGTGATGTTTAGAGCATTTGCTGACAATGAGACTTTTCTCCCATAAAATAAATTGAAATAAATGAGGTGTGTACATTCAGTCCATGCACCCCAGTAACAAGACAATGAACCTCTCATTGTAAATCATTTATCATAAAGTTAGCAAAATAAGAGCTCAAAGCTTACAGTTAAGCTTTTCCATGTGGTCTTATATGTCTTGCCATTCTTAACCATAAAAGCCTTTGAAGCACTTAAAATGGAGATTTATATTTTCATTTTGGTCACTAGAAGATTCCATTTTTTACAACTGAGGAACAATCATGATTGAACTTACTTTGAATGTATCTGGTCAGCATGGAAAACAAATGGAAGTAATCTGCTATATTAGAAATGTTTAAACACTCTAATGAGCATGTTCTCAGGACTCCTTTTTCAGGATCTTAAACATCTTTCTCCCCCTCCCCCCCCAGTTCCAGCTGTGGACCTTGATTTTCCAGAATTGGAACATGTATTTCCACACTTGCACCGTCAGCTCTTTAAACCCTTAGAACCATATCTGGATTTTGACTTATCGTTATCCTCTGGGATTTCTCAAGACAACAGAGACTTTTATGAGGTAAGTTAAAATTTATTGCAGTAAGTATTGACAGGTGATTTATTTTGTTCTTTTTTGTTTTTTAAAGATTTTATTTATTATGTATACAACATTCTGCTTCCATGTATTCTGCTTCTGCACACCAGAAGAGGGCACCAGATCTCAATAACAGATGGTTGTGAGCCATCATGTGGTTGCTGGGAATTGAACTCAGGACCTCTGGAAGAACAGTCGGTGCTCTTAACCTCTGAGCCATCTCTCCAGCCCCCAGCTACCAGTGGGTTTAGCTGAAATTGCCTTTGTATGCTGAGCCATCTCACCAACCCTGACATTTCTACTAAGTGACCTAAGTCCAAGGAAGGAGGGAAAAGACAACCGACTCAATCAAAATTACCAAATTATAAGTAGATTTATTAATACTGTTTTAAAACCAGATGGAAAGTGCGCTGCACTGAAGGGATTAGGGGGCTTTTAGAGAGAAACCAAACTGTTATTAACAAACAGGCTTATCTCACAGCAGTTACACCATTCTGCATTGAATGGCTAAGGATAGGATAGAACAGTTTCTTGAGCCACCATGACACTGTTGAGGTGGGTGATTTGACAGAATTTCTGTTCTCAGCAGAGCTCCGAATCTCCATCTAGAAAACACCATGTTAAGGCATTCCCTGTAAGCACAGCTAGTTTCACAGAACTGAAGGCAAGTTTGCAACCTGCTGGTAACCCTGCTCAGAGTTTTGCTGCTGAGGGTAAGTATAATTTTAAGAGATTATTCTGTTTCTTGAATATGGAGTCTCAAATTTTCCTAGAACTTTTGTTCCCACCCAACCACCTGTAGTCCCTTGTATCATACACGTGCAATCAAATATTGTTGAGAATGTTTTTATCCAGTGTTCATGCTGACTTTGTGATATTTTGTTGATGCAGGATCTGAACAATCTTTTCAACAGCTTCTACCAGAATTCTCTTCACAGGAAAGCCAACATGCTGATTTACCAAGTATTTATAGCATTGAAGCAAGAGGTACTTCCCAGAGCATGGAAAACTCCAGCTATTCTGAGCAGACTGAAACACTACAAAGTAAGAAAAAAAGTGTTCATTTTCAGTCTTCGACAGAGAATTTGAGTTCAGTCTACAATTCATCTGATCAGCCACAACTGCCCCACAGCATTCCATGTGGTTCTACCTCTAGTGAGTGCTCAGTAAAACCATTAGGAAGCCGAAAAGAAATGCTGGGCTTTGAAGAGCTGTCAAGAAAAGTGGTTACAGGGTCACAAAGCCAAAGACTTGCTGAAGATGAAAATGTGGAAGAAACCAACTCAGTTCAGGGGTCTCATTCATTAAGCATTGAAAATGAAAAGTCTGTTCAGGACATAATTAAAACCGAAACTACCAAAGTTGTAAGACAACTGTCTCAGCTACCACAAGCACAGCACATCATGAATTCTAAGTCATTTTCATTTCAGAGCTCTATTCCAGTCTGGGTAAGTGGGCACTTAATTACAGCACTTAATTACAAAAATCCAACTCTAAATGCTACTGAGGTTTGGCTCAGCTTTGTACATGCATACTGTGGCTGGAGCTACATCTAATGGTTGGGAAGACAGAGATGGCCAGACGTCTAATTGCTGGCAGGCCCCGCCCCCCCCCTAAAAAACAGCTTGGTACTATGGTACCAAGTACTATGGTACTTGGTACTAGGGTACTATGGTACCCTGAATCTAATCCAGGTTCAAAGCCAGGACAAGGTGGACCTCTGCCCTGCAAACATACACAAAACCTCATTATTCCCATATTCAGATTAAGCAAATTTCCCTAACTTTGAATTGTTCCGCAGGAAACAGAATCTGGCTATGGTATAATGGAAGAACCAGATCTCACTCTAAGCACCAGCGATATCAGCACCACTGAAACAGACCTTGCAAACTTAACTCTTGAAGAAAAAGACAGTGAAGCACAGAGCAGTTTCCAGGTAAATCCATTAATCAAGCACAGTGGTTTTTTGTGCTGCCGTAATACTTATACAGAGGTTGGCAATAACTTTCATTACGGTAATAAGGGACACAAGCTACCAGGAGCCAGAAAGCCAGTCCGATCTTCAAAAGAGATGGGGGTGCTTTGTATGCCTTGCATACAAAGGCACAGCAAAATAAAGTGACTTTCTCAAAATTAGGCAGGTGCTTCTCTGCCTCCTCTACCAGAAACCTCTGGGTATGAAGCTGTATCACCTCAAGTGGCACCTTTAGGTAAGTCTAGTTTCATATCAGCCCCCAAATGTTTAAATGAAATGAGGTTGTAAAGACCTTCTTTAAAAATTTACAGCCACACTCATGAAAAGGAAAAAGGCATTTGTGGAACGATCCTACCAAAGACAGAGAGAGATGCGAAATAAAACTCAACAACTCCCTCAAACAGGTATGTTTCCTTAATCTCTAGCAACAGATATTATTAAGTGATCCCTTAATCACTTAGTCACTTCATCTCAGGTTCATCGCTGAGCTGCCTGAAGGGTGTATCTCTCCCAGAAGACAGAAAGACCACACAAGCCCTCATGCACCAAAGGGCACTAAAGTATGGGTTTTGTTGTTAATTTGCTTTTAGTGTTTGACAGTTAATAGCCACATTTAATTCTTACATTTCTTACACAGATTATATAAACAGTTGTCTGAGGTAAAACAGCAGAGAAGAGAAAGCAAAGCTCTGTGCAAAATTTCATAAGGTGAGCAATAACCAGTTTTTCACCCTCAAAGGTACTATTTTCAAATAGCTAAATCTAATTCTCATTCCTTCTACAGAAACTTCGAGCCAAAAATACACGCTGACTTCCTACAAACTGTGTCAAAGTGGGTTTTCTTTTTAGTTTAATGTATAAAACTAGACAGATTTATTTATTAATAAAATTTTATTTAAAGGGGTTTGATTCTGTTGTTTTCCATCCAGGTCACATGGGTCCAAGATTTCTGAAGAGAGAGTTAAGAATTATGTTACAGTCTTGAAATTTGTGACTCAGGGAAATAAATGCATGTATCTTCTCAGAAAAACATAGCACTATCAAGTGCCTGTTTTATTCTGTGGAGAACATCTATCTTTGGTCACAGCGTTAAGAGCTTTTGGTTTCAGCCCAACAAGCCCTCTTTGAAATGACCTTCACTGTCTTTGTTGTAAACATACATACCTTTTCCAGTCTGGTTGTAATTATTATCAGGCCTGCATGACAAGAACATTGGAGAAGTGAGTAACTGAGCATTCTGGAACCATCTACTTCAGAAACAATCATTATTAGCTAATGAGAAAGAGATCAGCAACATGTGCCCAACAGGTTAATAGCTAGCCAAGTAGCACATAGAAAACCTAATGGGAAATTTTTTTTATGGTCATGTCCACAGCAAATGAGAAACTGAATTCCTCAAAGCCTTGGTAATGACCATTTTAAAAATTACTACTACTTGTGACATGCTGTGAGTTTACAAAGCTACACAGAGAAACCCTTTGTTGAAAAACCAAAAACATAACTACTTGCCTTTGTTCTTTTCTCTCTCCTTGGATTAAAGTCAAATAGTCAAATTCAAAGTTTTCTACCTGTGGAAAAATGTGTTTTAAATTTATGTGGACAAATCCACCTCCCAAAATGAAGTGTTGAAAATTCTGGTCTTAAATTGTTCCTTGCAATAAATTAACTCCATCATTGAACATCCCTTGGATTTATATTTGCGTATTTGGAATCTGGAGAGACCTACCAAATGTAGATGTTCAGAAAGGGTAATTTCAATCAGCCCATTCAGAGCAGTTGAACATTTTGCCCATCATCACAACATCATGTTACTAGTAGTGTCTTTCCATCTTGGCTGCCTATCTAAATGCTGCACATTTAAAGTTACCGCCTTACCGGAAGGTTTCTGGGACTTCTTCAATTTACTTTAGGAACCTAAAAGATTGATTATAGAAATATTGTGAAATGAATGTCTTCAAACATGTCTTCAAACTCAACAGTATAACAGACAAATGTTACAGGTCTCATTGTCACCACTGTAACATATGTACTGTGATGGAAGCATGGCCTGTGTCTCAATTTCGCCACATTCACCAGTTCTGGACACTGACAGTGCCCATTCTTATATAGAATGAGGCTCTGTAAAAATTACTCAGTCTCATGCACTATACATCCAGTAAAACCAGCCATTAGTAAACAAACAATGCCTTACCATTTTAAGGTTGGCCTCTCACTTGACAACACCCTGAGAAAATGAGTGAGTGGTTGGTTCATTCAGAAGGTGACAATGCTTGCCAGTTATTCCCCAGACTACAATCAACATGACAAGTTGTTCTGACTTCCACAGGGGACACATACCCACAATAAATACATCCAGTATAAAATAATAACTGTATCATTAGAAATACCAGGTTTAACATGCACAAAGCCAAGAAACCAACGATGCCAGATAGTGAATTTCTATTGCACTGTCTTTTGAACACACCAACAGGAAAGAACTGCTGAGTGCAGATACCATGCAGTGCCAATTTCTTAAAACCCTCAGCATGGTGTTCCTTTAAAGAAGCTAATTAATGATATGGTCCTAATCGGTGTCCACATGTTAAGTGTGCTAGATGGGCTTTGGGCTTTTCTGTTTATGCAAGAGATTCCAAATTCCATTTGATCCTTCATTCAATCCCCACTGGAAAATTGCCCAAATCAAACTGTTAACTTGTCTGATTATTCTTTTCTTTGGGTACACACATTTACACTCACTGTTGGGTTCCCTCCCTGGTCATCTAACACCATTTACTGGGGGTTTCTCACTAAAGCCATAGTTCCCTGATTTGGCTACACACCTGCCTGGCTGCTAGGTAGGGCTCTGAACTGCAATGCTCTGGGACATTTCATCCACTGAGCCATCTACCCAGCAAGTTCCTGTTTCCCAGGGGACCTCTAACTTGGATCCTTCTGATTTCAAGCTCCCAACTCCTAGGATAACAGGAGTGGGACATGCATCCCTCAAGAACTTAATATTCCCATTTCTCGGCGCTTTGATCTGGCCATATGAATGGCAAATGTTTCACTTACCAACATGTATGAGGAGTTCTGCTCATATTCATTCCTAGAGAATAAATAGTAGACAGAACTTAAGAAAAGGATGACAGTACTTCCAGTCATAAAAACTAGCCTTACTGTCCAGATTTAATAGCTGTGCCAGTTCTATCAGAATTAAGTTTTAGTTCATGTCTGTATCATACAGCAGTTGAACAGTTTTAACTCATCATCTGAACTGTAACCATATTTTCCCAAGACACACTGCCAAACTTACCTAATACTCACAATGCTAGTCTTTATGAAGGATATGCCAGTGACTGAAGTCTAAAAACCAACAACAAAAAAAACCCTGACATTAGTTTTTTATACTTTTGTTAGATGTCTTGTAGTAGTTCCTCCTTTCCACAGACCTATAAGCAGTCCTGTGAGTCAGGCAAAACACAAGTTACTATATGAGGCGTTTCCAACGATGTGTGGCTATTACAGAAGCCCCATCGGGATAGACCTCAAAAAGCAATCAGGGTTAGATTCTTATAGAGCCAGACTCTCAGATACTCATTTATCACATGTTAAAAATTCTTAGCAAGGTGTTCTAAGCACAGTAAGTACATAGTCTACTAAGTAAATTTTCATCAAGAGGTTAAATGGGTAGTCTGATTATTTCTTAGAACCGTATTGACATTAATGAGATATTAATGTTACAAGTTTTGCTTTAACAATAGCTTTCAGTGCTTATTCTTGCATCATCCTGCTAAAGTCATTTCAAATTGTTTCTAAATATGCATGAACATGGTTTAGAACTTAATGAAGGCTTCTAAAACTTCACAGAATAAAATTGGCATCACTCACTGAAGATAAAAATGGACAATCTGCTACTTACTATATTGAAACAAACACCCATGTACAAGTATCTTCAATTCTGGCTTCATAATCAAGACAAACCTTTAAAAAAAGAAAGTTTTTAGTTTTTTATTACCTATGCCTTCAAATTATAGGATAGAACAAAGCTCATCAATTCCTTAATTGTTTTATGCCGTCTTCTATTCCTTCTTATATGTATCAAAACTCATACTTGACAATGAGTTCTGGGTTGCAAAAGAGGATTTATTTTTGCACCTGTCTAATGTGCCTTTGTCCACCAGCTGAACAAAAACATATGCAAGTGCTACCAAATATAGCCATAAAAATCTGACACAAAAGCCTGCTTTACAATTGTGACCACAGTATGAACAATGCCAAAATTCAGACTGTATTTAATAGAAAAATCACTGTTAGGAGCTACGTTCCCCACTGACAGGGTAAGACAGTAGCTGGCACACAGGGACTGTAGCATTGTTTGGGAGAAGGGGTGTGAAGAGGAAGTTCAGTCACTCTTACAGGATTGTGTTTTGGTTCCCACCACTCACAAAATGATTAACCATCTTCTAACCCCAATACGTTGGGTGTCAGGATGCAGTGTACACACATACATGTAATCGAAACCCTCATTCAGACATAATTTTTTTTTAAAAAAAGGTTTGCTTGGTACCAAGCACTTAAGAGTCTGGGGTTCCTGGAGAGGCCTTTGTGGGGTTTTCTATTAGCACTTTCCTTCCAGGATCAAAAATCACACTCATGCTCCAGGAATCAAGCTTTAAAAAGAAATTACAAGTATTTTCCCTGGTAATTTGTAGCTTCTTTCCCAGGCTGATTTGGTTTTTTGTTTCTTCATCTAGTTGGTGTACAGAAGTTAACTGTAGTCATGTCTTCCTATTAAGTCCCTTTTTCTGAGTTTTCTTTACCTTCTTTGATGTTCACATGTAGATCTCCTTTCCAGGCCCTTCCATTCCATGCTCTCTGTGTGCCATGCTCTCTGTGTGCATTATCTTTGGCTTTAGCTTTTTTAGAGAATGCAGAGTCTTTCTTACTCGTCCCTTGTTCTAAATTTCTCTTTGAAAATTCTGAGCTTATTATGAAGCAAGTGTCTTCCTGTATTTAATAGAAAAATCACTGTGAGGAACTACAGTGCTACATCTATTCCTCTAAACCCAAATTAACACCTACATTACTTTCTCATTTGACAGCCTCTGCATCACATCACAATAGTTGAATATTCACTACAAAACATTTTAATGGGACGTAAATAGCTCAGTGCTTAAGATCACTGACCTCTCTTGTAGAGGAAGACTAAGATTCATTTCCAACACTCACACGTGTATATATAACTCCAGTTCCAAGTGACTTATACCCTCCTTCTGGCCTCCCCAGACATCAAGCATGCACATGGCATAGACATACCTATAGGGAACCTATATGCACAATACTAAAATTTTAAAGTCTTAGGAATGGAGCCATACATAAGCAGTAGGAGCAATGTGCTCACAGGATAATCCACTGGTCTGTGGTTTCAGGGTTCACTGATATAATCTCTGACAAAAATAGGGAAATGACAAACTTCTAACCTCCACACATCAAAGCTGGGGTTGTAGGGTGCCTTGTCCTAAATGTAAATGCATAGACAAGGTCATGAACTGTTACTCTCAACATGGGGGATAGGCAGAAAAGCAGCAAAAAAGAAAAGTTGAGTTTAAAATATTCTAGAGTATTTCCATTCTTATGTTTCCTACATTAAATTTAAATGGAATTAATAGGACCCACTACATACAACTTCTACATTCCATAAATAAAAATCAGCCACTTACAACCAATTTGATATCACATTCAGACTCAGGATTTGTTGCCTCATCTTCTGTTCTGTAACATTAAGTAACATATCATAAATCTTAGCTTGTATTCTAAAACTACTAAAACCTATGCTCTAAAGAATTGATATACTGCCAGCCATCTCCAAATTCATGTCCTGTACATATACCTAATATTAAGCATAAGCGATCCTGAATATGTTGCTAGTTTTTAAGCATTTATCAGTGGATGGTTAGTCCAGCAAGGTGGCACATGTCTTTAATCCTAACACTTGGGAGATAGATAAATCTTGAGTTCAAGTCCAGTCAAAGCCACAGTTGTGAGACACTGTCTTGAAAATAGTTAAATGTGAAGTAACACATATTTAAGATTGTTTCTAAAAACCACACACAAACCCAGGAACAAATTACTCCCCAAGATCCAACTTACAGTGGCTCTTCAATAGGAGAAAGAGGACCACCTTCATCATCAATGTACTTGTGTCTCCTGCTCTCAAAGTCTTCCTTTTCTAAATCTTCCCCAGCGTGCATTTGCTTCAAGCATTCCTTAAGATGGTGCTCATATTTGAGTTTTTCAATGTGGTGGAAAAATCCTCTTGCAACAGCTTGCTGCAAGTTACAAAACACAATTCCTTAAATCTCAGAGCATCAAATATTAATTGTAATCAAGCCTGAGATTCTACAAGGGCCTGGCTGGATAAATGTTTACTGTGTATCAGGTGGACCAGATTTGGAAGCACAGAAACCATGTAAATACTGAGTGTACGTACATGGTGGTTCCAGACTTGGAAAGATAGTAACCCAACAAGCTAACTAGGAAGACCACCTGAATTGGCAAGCCCTGCTAGGTCTGCACATGCACACACATTTAAAGAATGACATTAATCCTGATTGCAAATTCCAAACAAGGACCACTTATATCCCTGCAATATTTAATGCCCAAATATTTGAAAAACCTGTGTCAGGGTACTTGGGTTTTCCCATGTATGGGTGTTTTGCATACCAATGCACTACTTCGTGCCAGGTTACCTCAGAGACCAGAAGAGACAGCAACATTGGGGTTACAGATGGCTTTGAGTGACCATGTAGGATGCTGGGCATTGAACCTGGGTACTCTGGAAGAACAGCTAAGTGTTGAGCTGTGTATCTATCGCTCCAGTCCTTGTCCTTAGTCAGGTTAAATTCATTTGGATTACCAGAAGGTATCAACTAACAGGACTGATAACTATTGTGTATCCTAGATTGTGGGTCAAGAGCAACTGGGTTAACAATGCACATGACCAGCTAACAAGCAGCACCCTTTATGTTGCTTTCTCCAGCCTGTTCTGGGTACTTCTAAAAATGGCCTTAGAAATATCTGCGGCAGGCGTTGGTGGAGCACGCCTTTAGTCCCAGCACTTGGGAGGCAGAGGCAGGCAGATTTCTGCGAGTTCGAGGCCACCCTGGTCTCCAAAGGAGTGCCAGGATAGGCTCCAAAGCTACACAGAAAACCCTGTATCGAAACACCCCCCCAAAAAAGTAAATGACATAAAAAATAAAAAGAACGAAATAACATCTGCTTACTTTGAAATGACTGGTTTGATGGGCTACTTAATTTAAAGTTGGGTAAGATATGCTTGAGAGTAGTTTAGAGACTAAGATGAGGGTATTTTGTACATTTACAGACTTGGACCATTATTCTCTAAGTTTGTATACACACTAAAAACAGTGCACTCAGAAACACTGGAACCTGAGCAGACTTTACACAGAACACATTGTTTATTGTCAAAGTAACAAAATGTGTCCCAGGTGGACCTCAAATTAAAAATGGCCAACAACACCCAAACCCAGAGAAACTATGTCTGGAAAAACCAGGAAGAAAAGATGGGGGCAACAATCATTCCAATTTCCTAGTGTATTCACTTACATGAGAATGACTCACCTCATATGTTAAAATTTTCTTCCAAGGTAAGGGTTTTCTTCCATTTTCAGATTCTAAGAATGGAAACACAGCTCCTTTGTTTTTAATTTGCTTCACACCTATCTGTGACCTTCTAGGGTTTCTAGCATTTTTTATTCCAGGTGGTCTTCCTCTTGGTCTTAATTTTGGCTTGTATTTCCTTTTTTTCCGTTTCTTTTTCTTAAATCTTTCAAAAATAGCCTTTAAAGTCAAAAGCCTTGGTTCTATAGAGGAGTCACTTGATGTGTCAGTGTCAACATTTGCAGGTAAAGTGACACGTTTTGTCGTAGGGTTTCTTTGCTTTCGTGTAGGTGAAAGAACGTACTGTGTTTTAAATAAGCTATCAGATGAGTCATCGCTAAAAAAATAAAATAAAATAAACTGCATCACTGAGTCGTTACTAGAAACAATCCAATTCACGAGTGGCAAGGCTGTACCCTCAGGCAGCATGGTCATTAGTAACTCAAGTTTCATGGAGTTCAACACCCTCTTCTGAACACATGATACTGACTGTAGGCAAAGCACTCACTCATAAGTCACATAAGAGAAGACATTAAAAATTTAAGTGTACATTTCTTCCAAAGCCAGCTCCCCCAAAATCATACCCAACATTTTCAAATGGGTGTGGTGATAAGCCTTTAATTCCAGCTCTTGGGAGAAATAGGCAGGATCATCTTTGAATGAGGCCACCTACTGAGACCTGTCAATCTGAACAGTTAGACTCAACTCTAGGGTGTTTAGTCACAAAAGCTGCCTTACCTTTGATGTCCAATGTCTGCAGCTCTATCAGGTGTCATGCAGTCAACAGAAGTCACTTCTGATTGAGCCATTACTCGATCTCTGCAATTACAATTTCAGTGTGATGCACCTAGCATTCTAATGAAAAGTTCAACATACACCATACCACCATGTGACTTTAGGTAAAATCGACCTAAGGATAGTCCACTTTAGATCTTTAAAAACATCCAAGTGAGCCAGCTGTTGGTGGTGCACGCCTTTAATCCCAGCCATTTGGGAGGCAGAGGCAGGCAGACCTGTGAGTTCCAGGTTAGTTTCAGGACAGGCTCTAATTCAATATAGAAAAACCTTGTCTTAAAAAAAAAAATATCCACGTGAGGAGCACAGCAGTTAAAGTGTAACCTTCCACAGTTCAGTTCCCAGCACTCACATTGGGTAGCTCACAACTTCAACATGGCATGTTTCTGGCTTCCTGGATACCCACACATTCAATTCTAATCTACAAGTGAAAGCAAAGGAGAGACCACTTTCCAAATCAGTGTTTTCTAATTCTACTTAACAAAAGTACCTGAGTGGCTTTACTACCAGCCAGCCACACAGTGAAACAGCATTAATTCGGATGTTTACCCTAGGAAGGCTGAATTTTTAGCCACTCAGTGTGTATGCCTCAATTTCCCGAATGGCCAATGGGCCTGTAATCCCAACAATAGAACCTCTAGGGTGAGTCAGCTGAAGAGATGGCTTAGCTTTAAGAATACTGACTGCTCTTGAGTGGACAGATTAAATTCCCAGCACCCACAAGGCAGCTTTAAAGGGGCCGCAACTGGCCAGGTGGTGGTGCGCGCCTTTAACCCCAGGAGGTAGAGGCAGGCGGGGCCTCGAACTCAAGATCCGCCTTCCTCCTGAGTGCTGTAATTAAAGAAATGCACCACCACCTCCCGGGTTATTAACTTTTTTCCTTTAAAAGGGGACTTATTTTACGGATAGTGCATTGGTTTCACCCATACCAGAAATAGGAACCAGAGCCCATTACAAATGGTTGTGAACTACCACGTGGCTGCTAGGAATTGAACCCACGTCCCCTGATAGAGCAGCTGGTGCTCTTAGCTGTAGAGCCATTTCTCCATTCCCCATTGTTTTTTAGTATTAGCCCATCAAAATTGCAACGTAACATACTTGGCCCGTTTGCACCAACGATAGAGCGGAGAAAATTCTAAGGGTAATGGCCAAGTACACACGAGGAACCTATCTAGAAATCAGTCCTACCTGTGCGGTCTTCTCGACCTAGGAAGGCAGCACCAGCACAATGCCCCGACGGGACACTCTAAAACCTTC